GGTTTAGGCTTACTCTTACATATCTTGGCTTCAGAGTACTTTTCCAAACAATTTCGACTGGACACAGGCAGAGAGAGCCCACAGGCAACCTCTTGAAAAGTGGAGAAGGCCCTGGGGACGAGTTGAGTCCACAGGCTGAAAAACATCGGCGAGAATAATATTGTTATACATGGCGTATAAATGTCTGAAAAGACCGCGAGTGATACAAGGTTTCTCTCAAAGTGAAGTTTGGAAATTTTGGCAAGTAAAGCCATTCTTTGTCGGAAAATCTTTTCAAGCCGCCAAAGCGGCAGGATTGCCTTGGAGTCGTGCTGGCCGAAATTTGTGGTCAAGTTGGTTAATGCGTTTGCTGCAAGATTCTCTGCGACTTTTTGATCCGGCCTGCAACCTCCTGTGGCCGGAAATCTCAAACCTACCAATACATCTTTGTCAAGTAAAAATATAAAAGGCAGCCAACGTACCCTCGAAACGCTGGAGAAAGCAAGTCCATCACAGAGGAAATCGAAATTAGTACGTACCAATGCACCAGCAGCAAGTCTCCCTGTGTATTGGTTTGGGGGTCCGTACGACTGCAATATATCGATTTACAGTTTACTGGCAAACTTCAATCTATTAGCTCCACACCGCACCAATCTCGGACTCCGTTCCTGGACGAACGGCCTATGACTACCGGCAAACACATTTTTCCTTCCCCTCCCCCACCCCCTTACTCCTCATTTAGACTCACTCTTACTACCCAGGACGCCTTTTCGTCTTTCCCCAAGCCTCCCAAGATAGTGTTCGCCTTATCAAAATGCGCTCGCTCGCCAAAATACGCCTGCAATGCAGACTACGACCAAACAGGCCACGTTATTATTGATTGCACGGTCCAGAATCACAACTGTAAACGAGCGAGTGATCGAGAAACCAAACCGTCTCGTTTGCACGTGCTTTGCGATGATGTCATTTATTTTCGCCCCTGTTGCGAAAGACAAGCCTAACCTGCAAAATGTGTTTGACTTCAATGACTCTCCCCCCAGCCCCCCGCCCCCGAATAACTTGGGCCTACAAGTATATGTCAGCTGACTGTATTTTTGCTGGGTTTTAGTATACGGTGTGAGCCAACTTCTACACGGGATTTCTGATTTTGCAAAGGTAAAAAATAATGTCACACGCAGAAAAACCATTTTTCCTTTGCAGTTACGTATTTATGTCAAACGGAGAATCGTGATTTGTTCTTATACCTTGGACATCAAAACAACAATTACAACTTACCACATTAAATGTCAAGGGAGTTTCATGTGATCTTTTTGACGTATTCATGGGTATTAACCACGAAAAATTTACGTCTGAAAATATTGATCATGGTCACTAAATGCAGCATCCCGTGGTAAAAGGATCATTTACCACGGCAAAAAGAGCTCCGCCGTGTAACCGAACCCTAAGAGAGCGAATTTCCTGGCTTTAAGTCCAAAACATGTTTCTCCTGTAACCGTTTTTTCGTCTGCTGCTTGGGTTCTTATATCTAGGTTTCTACGGTATCGTTACTCGACATTCACCACTACAACATGACAAAATGAATAAATATTCACTGTAAAGCTACAAGTTCTCTGATTTTTCCATAGTGCATCAACTTTTATTTGACTGAAATCCCACACAAGTACGAATTGCGGACCTATTTTTATATTCGTAGGGGACGTTCACTTTCTTACGAAACCGCAACTTTCAATAAAGATCTCTTGTAGATTTTGGTTGATGAATTTGAAAAAAGAAAAATTGAATATAAGTAGTTTTCCGTGAGACAGGAAGACGCTGACCGTTTATTACATGCATTTTAATGAAGCTAAAGCTCCGTCTGCACAACGCAGGAGGAACTTAAAAGGAGAGGTTTCGCTCTGAAAACACATCAAGTGTTTTCCGTCAACACTATGTCGGAGAAATTTGAAAACACAACAATCAGCGGTCATTTTGTATTTGCGTTTGAGGAAAACTCGAGCAGGGGAATATCATTTCATTTCAGGGGAATATCATTTCGTTTTGAAAATGTTTCCGTCCACACTAAAACACAAAGCCGCCGTTTTCAAATTTCTCCTGTTTGAAGAACGTTATCGAAAAGCTCCGTTTTCGTGACGGATTAGTGTGGACGGTAGGCCTGACCGTAGNTTCTCCCGCTTTAAAAGCAGCTTAACTATTGCTGATAATCCTTTGTGTCAACGTAATGGTACGCTTCTTATTGCCGATGATAAAATCTAGCACGATAGTTTAGCTATTGCTATCACACAAAAAATTCACGACAAACAAACAACGTACGTCATCCACGGCCCCGTTCATATAATTATCATTGTCGCGTCCCACATAAAGAAGGTCACTTGAAGCCTGAAAAACAGAAATCAGAAACTTTCCTTAGCAAAGTTCAGTTTCCCTGGAAAGTGGGCCGGGGAACTGAGAAATCACGCTAAGCTCGTAAACTCGAGTTAGATTTGTGTGTTGGTTTTTCCATGATGGAATTGTTTGTTTCTTAGCAGGCGGAACAGTCTTGAAAACCAACTAAAGCTAACAAACAACTGTAACAAGCTTTAATGCTTGTCTAGTGTTGGTACAAACAACTGAGACAGAACAGTCACAATTCTTTAACTTATGCTTTGTTAAAACGTAACGCTTTCACGCTTTCAAAGTAAACCAAAACAACACGGGGTGACATACCCAAGAGTGTGGCAAAACGCTGCTCTGTGATCCAACGGATGACCCGTTGACAAAAAGTTCCAGTTCGTAAGCTGAAAGTGATAAATGGGACAGTCTATTAAGCGATATTTCACCCTATTAGAATCAAAAAGAGTTTATTCTTACTTCGTGAGTCAGTTCGTCTTTCTGTCAGCCGGCCCGTCAGTCCGTCAGTCCGTCAGTCCGTCAGTCCGACCTTCCTTATTCCTCTCCTCCCTTCCTACGTTACGGTGTAGACTGTTTGTCAATCCCCTCCTCCTTCACTCGTCCATCCGGCCGTTCCCCAGTTTGTCTGTCTGTCTGTCTGTCTGTCTGTCTGTCCGTCCAACCTACCTTATTCCTCTCCTCCCTTTCTTCCTTCTTCCCTCCCTCCTTTACTCGTCTGTCAGTCGGTGTTTCAGTGAATCACTCAGTTAGTTACTCTGTCTGTCTGCCTATCTGTCCAACCTTCCTTGTTCTTCTCCTCCATCAGTCAGTCAGTCAGTCAGTCAGTCAGTCNCCCTGCTGCCAAGTTGTGGCCTCGGGTTGTGACCGGTTTACAATGACACGACCTGCTACACAAGCAATTTTTCTAAAAAAAAAAACACTCCCAGCGGCGAACTTAGAATCTTACAATCTTGGAGTGTACTCTGAATGGGGAAAATTAAAAAGATAAAAATTAAAAAATAAAAAGATAAGAACCTTTAGCGTCGTAAGCTAAGTTGACGTGTTCTTGACCAGGGTTGCTGACCAACCGGCAATTATCATCAAGATTAGAAATGCCGTCACCGTCTTGATCGCCGTCGCAAGCATCTCCTACAAAAAGATAACAGAAACGTATTTAACTCAAAGCTGGAAAGAATGTAGCCTCTTTGGGCTCGTCACGCAATCTTCCTCGTTCCTCGTACAACTGCAGCTAAATTAGGCGATTTCCATGATGGCGTCATTTGGCTACAACTACCATGGTCAGAATCATAAAATTTTTCTGTTTCTTTTGCCAAGTCAGTAGGGCAATTGCCATCTAACCTCCACTGGGGTTTCAAAATTTAAATATCAAAGAAAAATCGCAAGGAATTGTGGTAGTTGTAGTCAAATGAAGACAACGTGCAAATCTGTTATTCTTCCCGGACAAAGTTCATAGTACTCATTTACAGGAAAGCGATGTAAAAGCAACCAATCGAGCGAATGAACTCTAATCTAGTAAAAAGGTATACAACTGTAAGATTAATTCCTGTAATAAACGGGTATACAGGAAAACTGTTACAGAAAGGGTTTTAGTGGTCGCAATTTTTGCATCAAACGTTGACGGGCGCAAAGTTAGCCATTCACATGGTTTGCTTTCTGAATAACAATGACAATNACCACACCCATGGACTGTAGACGCATGGGAATAAAATATTGTTTGAATTCTAGCGAAAGAGTAGGAGCTTGTGTGTGAAAAAATGGCCCCATTGACAATAGAAAAAGAAGGTTGTGTATTCTCTTCGAAGTACATCTCCATCGATCATATTACACAGTTAAACAATAACAGGTGCATATTGACTCACGTTTGTGTTGATACACTGTGAATTTGGATCACAGCTGCTAATGCCTTCCTTACACTCGTCGATCTCCTCACAGACTTGTTTGGAGTTCTGAGCGTCTTCCAGACCAACCCCTGACGGAGCATTACCCCTGAAGCCGTCAGGGCATGCAGCACACTGATAACCAGGGACACGGTTCTCACACTTGTCGCTTTCATAGCAGGGATTGGCACGGAAACACTGTGTAATATTGTAAAATACAACGGTGAGAAGGTTGAATCGCTTACGATATCGATTGTACGATGAAAAGTTCACTTAAGAGGAAATGAGGACACTTTTTTAAAGGCTAAACATTAGACAGACCAATAACAGGGGTAGAGATGTCTTTATACTTGATTTCATTTCACAGAACCCACCCATCTGCTCACCTAATGGATAACACAGACCACACTCTCCCTTACTAACAAGCCTCACGTTTTGCATATTGATGAAACAGCACTGCAAAGGTCCATGTAAGGTCTTATTTTCAGCTAGTTTCATTTTAACCAATCGCTGCTGTATTGATCCATAGGGTACTAAGTCATTACTGACATCACTGTGGAACTTTCTGGCTCGGATCTCGGACCCTTGTCTCGGTCAGCTCTGCAGAAACACTAGACGAGATTAGGCAAGTTTATCTAACCTGATCACTCTTCTCTGCTTACCTCGTCGATGTCATCACAGGTTCTTCCATCCCCTTCATAACCGTTTGGACAAGGTCCACATGTTGACAGACCAACTCCAACATTCAGACAACTCACACCGGGAAAGCAGGTGCCATTTGATAAGCATGGACCTTAAGGCGAAAAAGTCACATAAGATTGTATTAAAAAAGTACACAGAGCGTCTGAAGAAAACATGCGTTGGACTAGCATCCAAGCAAGGGTAGTAGGAACACAACCCACTCCTCAGAATATTTTTAAACTTTGCAAAAAGTTACATCTTATCATTCTTATCACATTTCGATAGTACAAAATAGGGGTCACCGAGCTCCTTTTCGAGTTATAAGCGCTTAAAGCTAAAATTGAGGGAGTTTAGAGCAGGTGATATTGTTGCTATGGTAACCAATTGTGCCACAGAATTGACAGCAACATGTTCACCAATGATTGGGCAGTTTTTTGATACCATGCTTTTGACATCAGCCGATACAGAGTGGTTCTAACGACCCATCAAAGTCTACGTTTTGTTAAGTGCTGGAAACTGTTTCGAACCACCTTAAGCAAAAATACTCACAATCCTCTAGTGTAAAGCACGTCTGACATAATGAACAGTTCGGGAAGGTCTCATGCTTTGCCCACTCGTTAGCAGGACATGGCCGGCAGCTGGTTTTCATATAAGTACTGGAATAGCCATCAGGGCAACACTCGCACGTTTGTGCACGGGTCTCATTGTTAAAGCTTCCGGGAGGACACAACTTGCAAGGAAACCCTGTGAGCGGGAGGACAAGAATGAATTAGCGTGAAATGGAAAAGCAAACAAAGTGAATCATATTGTAAATATTAAACGCATTCTCAGGTAATGGAGTAATGTTAAGTAATGGAGATTGGTAAAAATTACAGAGTATATATGTGTGTGGAAAGCAACGAAAACGAGAAAGAACTTGCCAGAAAAAGAAAACTGGTCTAAGAAAATGAAGGTGCTTCTCTCAAAGTATCAATGAGGGAAGTTTATAGTACATCCTTATAAGAACATTTTTAGTAGAACATCTTTATACTCTTAAAACAAAATTCAAAAAGGTCATTTTGCAAACGCTTTTCCTGATCAAATGTGAGGAGGCTTATGTGACCTAGTAAGTTTCAACATGGATCCTGCCTCCTACACGTATCCGTCCGTTTCTTTTCTTTCTCATACAATCCTTCCAAGACTGTGCTGTGCAGGGAAAAAAAATGTCCCCACGATGGAATTTAGACCAGCCTCTACTTTACCTTTTCCATTACTGTATCGTCCTGGTGTACAATCTTGCTTCATCCCTTCCCAGCATACCGTGCCAGGCTCGCAGTCAAAACAATTCTCTGGACAAAACTAACGAGAGATTGTGAAAAGATAAGGCGTTAACTTCGAAACCACAGATTGCACGAGCCACAGTTATGACACTAAAATGTCATTTCTTTTTCTCCTTCTCTTAACCACACACGCTTCTCAGCACCTCTCAGAAGACTACAAAGACTCGCCGTCTGCTTTGATATTCCGAGAGGATAAACCTAACCAAACAAGATAGAATGCGTTTCATTTTTAAACTAAGAACGTATCCTACTTACCGTTTCATTACACTTGACATGAGTACTTTCTGGACAAGGACGCGCGGTGCCGTTCACACAAAGCTGTAGACAAGCAAACGAAATACCGTATCAGAATTTTCAGTTGTCATCATGTAAAGTGAGCACCATCTATCAGAGCCCTTTTCGAGAGATTAAACGTTACCCAAACTCAAATTGCCAGGCTTTTCACTGACCAAAATACAATTGACACGGACTATGGCAAAACTGATCACTTGAATAGTAGCAAATTTGCATTATTCAATCTATTTCGAAAAAGCAATTTTTGTTAACAGAAATGACGGCCATAATCATCATCAAAATTTCATATCTAAACCTTCAGCAACCGTAAAATTGAATTCCCCGGTTTTTCCCTGACACAAAGATCAGAATTTCAGAGACTAGATAATAAAGTAGAAGACAAAAATTCGCGACAGTGGCAACTCCACCTACACCCACATCTATTGTTATTCAAATTCAGGCGCCATTTATGCAAAGTGTCTATGAACGCTAGTGTAAGTTTTAAACCTATATGACATCGTATCTCTCAACAAGACGCGTCTTACTCCGCCCACTCCTTCAAAGGACAAACTCGTTTCAATTACAGTAAAAACCCACGAGTAAGAAGCTACATTTTTGAAGTTTGACAAAATAGGTTCTTGTACTCCGGGTTAGTTACTGGTATTTTAGGCTAAGTAGGTTCTTAATTTGGGTCTTAATTTCTGTGAAGGGGATATAGTTGTTGAATACCAGAAAAATAAACAAACTTGGGTTTGGTCCTTAAAATACACATTATTTATTCATAACTGTGCATGTATTATGTATCTTAAACCACTACGTTCTTACAGGCAGTTTTTTTTTTACTGTATTCACTCACCCATCCCTCCTTACAAGGCGAACAGCTTGCAGCAGATCCAAAAGAAAACTCAGTTAGGGAGTTGACTCCACATCGCTCTTCAGTGCCATCGCCAACACAGAAGTACCCGGTCCTACAGCCACGACACCTCGGTTTGGTGACCGAGTCTAAAGCTAAAAGCAAGAATCAAAGGCTCTTTAAGCCAACTGGTGACACCTGAACGTACATCGTGTAATACCTATGACAAGGGTGACCTAATTCCTATTGATCCATCATGGTAAAAATCTTTATGTACGCACGGCCGTACTCAATAAAGTGACGTTTGCAGTTTCATTTCAGCTGCAAAATTTACGTCGAGTTTTGTGCAAGTTCCTTTTGTTTAAGTTTCGGCAACGTGAAGATTATTCTGAACAATCCAAACCCTATATTTCGAGCCTTTGACTTTTGCTAGGCTAAGATGTTTACTTCAAGTTGAGTATTTTGACTTTGTTTGTCTACAATTTCATTGAGTATTTTTGACTTTGTTTCTACATTTTCATTATAACTAATTCGAAGAAGCGAATTTTTCATTGACAATTTTTGAAACCAGGTTAAGCGTTTTCGTTCAACCGTTACTCAACTGATTGTGGCGTATCAAGATCCTAATCACCTTTGTTTTCCTTCACCGTGCATTGTGACTTTGTAGTCAATCACGAATAAAACATGTTCTAGTGCAAAGCTGTTGTAGCCATGTTATAAAAGAATTGGTGTCTGCTTTTAGCTGTGCGTATATCGAGTTATGAATGCACTTGGAAAGTTTCTAGATCACTCAAGAAGCTAGAGTTGCTCTCGGCTATCGCCTCGAGCAACTCTTACGCTCCTTTCGTGCTCTCCAAACTTCCCCCGTGCATCCATAACCCGATATACGCTCGCTAAGCATGAACCAATTCTTTAATAATCATTACGCTTGTTTAGGTGAAACACTTGAGTTGTTTTTATTGTAACTACTGATTAAGTAATGGGTTCTAACAAAGAACCGAGTGTAAATAAATAACTATAATCAACTTAATTTCTATCAAATGAGACAAAATCCCCATTTATCTTACGTCTCCCCTAGCGAGTCGAGGGCCATTCTGATGTCGATGTTTCTGTCCTTAGGACTTCACCCTGCGAGCAAAGTCGCTTTGATCTTTTCTAAATAAATCGGGAAATAGGAAAGAATGTCCCGACTATCGAAGCGACTCTTCTCGCGGGGTGTTTGGACTCGACTTATCACAAAAATCCTCGTTCATTCATTGTGGAGGCGTAGTAGCCTCATGGTTAGTGCGCTCGCCTCCGGATCGAGCGGTCCGGGCTCGAGCCCTGGCNTTTTGACTGAGTTCATCTGAAACACTTGAAAGTACTGGTGAAATGAAACTGATGATGAAGTTTTACCTGTGTTTGCACAATTTCTCTGAACTTTGACATTTATTTTCTCGAGTTCCCATGGAAAATTGTTTCTGGTGCTATATCAGGCAACTATTTATATCTTTAGCTTTTAGAAAAGGTCAAAAGGACTGTAATATACTGAAAGTTATTCTGTTACAAGGTTTTTGTCCATTAAAAACTGAAAATGTTCGATTTCCTATCGGATTTCGTCCCAACAACGTTGCTGGAAATTGGGTGATTTGAAAAATATCCGGAAAATTGCACATAAAAAGCGATGGAGAATGCTGTAATGAAAAACAAAAACAACCACTGTAAGCTCAGACTCTTGGGACGACCTTCATTAATAATGTTCAAAGCACTACTCAAACACGGGTTAACTTAGTTGACGGAGTCTCAGACCTCCGAAAAAGCAACCGTAACAATGACAATAAACCAATAGAAAACAATAGCTGTTACCACGCAACCTTTCACTGTGAAGCGTATATTTGTCAATGCAAAGTTGCGCAATGCAACAGTGGGGGAAAAAAGATGGAAAGCAAAGTATTAACTTCGAGTTAATTTAAAGTGCTGGAATATAACCCAGCAATATCCTTCTGCACGTTAGTCCTAGAAAGGAGATGGCCTCCTGTCTAGTGTAGCCCCCGCTTAAATTACAAGTTGTGATGTAATCCTTTGAATGATGAGCCAGAAGGGTTAAGATCAACTCTGATGAGTTTGGGGTATTTTACTTACATTCTCTCTGGATCGCTGGCCTTGAATCTGATTTGAGCATTCAGACCGCTGTCTCTGTCAGTGGCTGCAGCGGTGAAGAATGCATCTTTCTGAAGCGGCGGAATGGGCTCCAGGTCCAGGTTTATATTGACCTCTGCCAAGAAAGGGCAGTGATCGTTGTAATCTTCAACAATAACCTGCACCAAACAAAATATGCATATGACATAATGAGTTATTTTTCGGGACGTGCAAGGTAATGTCCAACCCCAAGGTTTACTTACAAAGAAAACACCAAAGAAAACAGTAAACCAAAAAGGAATAAGAATGGCTGAGATTGGGAAAGATTTAGCTTGATTATAAGCATGCAGTGAACATGAAAACCGTACGCTGACCCTTTAAAAAGTGTGTGAAGTTGGACGGTTGGCCATAACAGTGCAAACATAGTGTCTAAGTACCTTCTCACATGCATGAAGTGATCGTACGGCCCCATAGTCTCCTTGATGGCCGTTATTAGGGTCGTCACGCAACGCTTCTCCCTACTAGTGGGGAGAAGCGCTGCGTGACAACCCTAATAACGACTTTGAGGGAAATTAACGGCCCCAAATTGAAGATGTATTTTTTTCAGATTTTCAGAGGTGAGTAAATGGAGTAAATGTACAAAGTGCAATTTGCAATTTATGTTTGACCTATTTTTCCAACAAACGACGACAAAATTTGAAGGTCTGTCAATCGACAGCTATGAAATCCAACATAAAGAAGACGAGTCCAAGGGTTGATAATTTTGTTGAAAACCAACTTTTGACTTACTACAGTGCAAAAAAAAAAAGATTTATACATGTACTATATTTTGGCTCTATTTCAGAGTACGGAGGTCATAGTCAAGCGGCTAGATCAAAACAAATGGACAGTTTATATATCAAGGATAATTAGGCGTATACACAAGCAATGACATAGCACGATGTAATCAAACACATCAAAAAGATATCTAACTATTTGGAGGCTTTGATCCTCAGGCTCTTATTAAGACTAAGCTTTAAGTTCTTGATGTAGACAGTCTCGAGAAAAGCTAATTACGGCCAATTAAATTGAATTAAATTAAAATATAGTTCGGTTTGATTTGACTCTGAAAAAAAATAGATCAAAATTTGTTTACCTTGATTGTAATGTTCCCTGTCCACCCTTTGTTAATGTCCGTAATTCTCAGATATAATTCATACGATGGGTTGGATTCAAAGTCCAGAAGAGCTTTCAGCGTGAGCGAAGCGTTAGACGTGGTTATAGAAGTAAATGATTGAATACCTGTGAAATATAGCAGAGAGTTTGCAATGCAAAATTACTTAAGAAATCCACACAAAGACACCTCAGCAACCAGAGAATGAGCGCACCATTTTCACTTCGGTGCGAAGACGGCTTCTCCTCACGTTGTCAAAATGTCAGACACCAGCAACATTCTATTTCAAGAATAGCACCGGCTGCCTATCACACTACACACACCCACTGATATTCTGGATTCGAACTGTTTACGACGTTCAGAATTCACTTTTACTAAGTTATGAGGTATTATATTGATAAGGTGTGATCGATTCTGTCTCGGACGGAGTAAAACCGCACGCCAACTAATTTGGCGAAAATGTCTTGTCTTTGAGAGAAGCCCAAGTATGCGAACATTCAAATGAAAACTTCTTCAGTGCTAATGTTCTCAGGAGGTTGAGGTTCAAACGTTTCTGGCTGCGGATAAAATCTTACAGCGTGTTCGTTCAAGTGAACGCAATTGAGCGATATATTATTTGGTGCTAGTCGTTTTACTTTAAAAGAAAAGAGAAATTCAATTTTGAAATAGGTTTTTTTTAAGGGTTGAAAGAGTGAAAGGATCAGTAATCTCGAGAAAGCAACCGTTTTATACACCTTTTGATTCTGGTACACATAAACACCAAACCAAATTAAGTTGGCCTTTATCAATACTATGGGATGCGCGGTGGCCTCATGGTTAGTGCGCTCGACTCTGGAGCGAGTGCTCTGGGTTAGAGCCCTGGCCGAGGACATTGTGTTGTGTTCTTGGGCAAGACAATTTACTCTCACAGTGCCTCTCTTCACCCAGGTGTATAAATGGGTACCGGCGAATTTAATGCTGGTGGGTAACCCTGCGATGGACTAGCATCCCATCCAAGGGGGAGTAGAAATGCTCCTGGTCGCCTCATGCTATTGAAACCGGGATAAGCTCCGGCCTGATGGGCCACTTGGCTCGTATGCAGACTTTACCTTTACCTTTCATCAATACTCACGGTTTGGAAATGCAATGAGAAGTATAAACCAATGAAACCGTGACGACAGAATTATTTCTGTCAGATGAAATACACTAAGATTTGCTTAACGACAAAGCGAAGCTAAATTACACAAACACCTTAGCTCGTGTCGATTCTGTTTACACGTTTGAAATGGGTCTATGATATCTCGTGCACCAAACAATCGAACTTATTCTTACACTTCGCCTAAAAAGTCTCAGTAAGTTTTCTGGGTATTTTCCGTGGTCGTTCGCAGGACGTTAGTCAGTTAATTTTATCATATTTTTACCTGAATTTATATTGGGTATGGGAGTCAGTGGATCATCAGTAGCATTTGGACACAATAAAATCGTCTCTCCATCAAGAATGAAATTGGGTGGAGCTGGAGTGACGGGGGCATTGGGCGCCGTGTAGGTTCCATCTTGGATTTCAAACCTGTCTTGCTCGTTTCCTTCAAGGATGTCTACATTGTACGGCCCAGAGGAGAAATCGTCTGCCACGTTGAAAACCTGAGCCACGCAAGAAGGAAGTATTTATTAGAGAATGTTGTCATGTTATGACTTCTGTACCCCGCACAGTCGAACCTCTTTAATACGGACAAAAAGGGGCTGGACCTGACTGTCGTTTTATGGATGCGGTCATACAGAGGAAAGGATTACTTTAATTCTGGTTTTGCTGGAATTAAGTGAAGTGTCCGTAAAATAGAGGTGTCCCTATTTTGCCGGAATGAGGACAGAGGTTTGACTGTGCAGCAAAGTTATCAAATGTGGTTCAACATTTGGCCAATCACAACCAACGCAAATAATAAACTGAAACAAGCAAAAGCCAAAGCGCAAACGTCGCCGGAAAAAAGGTGGAACAGTAGACGAACTTTTCATAATCTACTCGATTAACTGAATGTTTAATTCGTTAAGATTGCAAAGGCTAAGCACGAGAGAGGTGTACATGATTTCGACTGCAATTTCTCTCGGTATCACTTTCGTTCCCTTTAAACACAAATGGAAACGATATCTTATCACGTAAAAGCCAAAATTTTGGAAGGGATACATGCGCTACATCGCCTCCTAAGCAGAAGTTCCTTTGGATCATACAAGCCAAAAGAATAGCTGCGCAAGAGGCTACGTTTTAATTGGAACTGTTACAAGTGCACTTATCGGCCACACATCTAACCTGCACAAGAGATCCAACATGTGCATCCTCGCTAATTACTGCAAAATAGTCTACAGGTCGGGCGTCATCTAGCAGAAATGATACTCCACTCGACTGGAACAGAATGTGTGATTTACAACGGAATCTCTCAGCAATGAAGACATCTAAACGGTATGCCTCGTTGATCTGCAATAAACACCGGGACAAACTATTAGAGGTTAGAATGCGAGAGTGGCTAGACTAGAGCTATACTAAGATAGCCTACAATGGACTAAGCTGGACTAGTCTAATATATTTCAGGGTAGACTAGGCCAGACTAAAGAAAGCTAGGCTACCTTACGCTACGCTAGGCTAGTCTGGGTTACACAAGTAAACACATCCACAAACAGGACACAGAAGCGCACATGTCATTAGAAACATTACCCTTAGGGACAGGCTAGCTGTCTCTGCTGGAAGAGAACCACTGACTTGGCATTTTCCACCAATAACTGAACCACCTTCAGGGACTATAGATCCGTTACCAGCTAAAACAGAAAACACAGTAGATAAACATGATTATTGATTGCAGNATTATTGAAAAACCGGTGCGCGCGCGTAAACAACGGCAAATTTACCAAGGACAATTCAATACGTGCGATTTTGTTAAAGCGTCAAGTTCAATAATGCGTCGAAAAATATTTGGAAACCATTATTTGCGTTAATTTAAGTTAGAATTCTACTAAAACAATTAGATTATTCGCTCTCGATTTCTATGAGGAAAAAGTTGATTCGGCCTTCGGCCTCATCAACTATCACCTCATAGAAATCTCGAGCTCATAATCTAATTGTTAAATAGTGCATGCCGACACCGTTTGGTGACAAAAACACACTTTCAGACGTTGGAATCATAAGTGCTTTGTATTCCACAGAGACTTCGTAACATTAATAAACACATGAAATCACACTTTTCGACTTTTATAAAACAAGAGACGCGCACTGTACAACTTTAATCGCCTGGGTGGCTAGTTTCTCTAATCCACAACTGCATGGTCAGTGTCGCTCTCCTTCTCTGTGGAAGAAACCTACACGGCATGTGCCCATTTAATATATAACGTCAGTATTTCATTTTTGGCCGCCTTTTTTTTTCGCACTTGTGACAAAAGAGACTTGGAAAATTAATACATTTCAATTTTAAATTTGGGCGCACTGGAATGAACGATTATAAGGGTAAAACTCTTGACAGAATTCCAATAGAATTCAAAATACAGACAATACGAGAGTTAATTGTGATGATCTTGACTTTGGAACGTAACGATGATGAGCCGAGGGGGAAATAGATTGATTTATTTTTGCCGTATTCCCCATAAGAATGCTTTCGCATTGATCTGACATCAGCTCCTTCACACCAGTTTCTGTTTCATATCAAAAACTTTCTGTCAGACTGAGTAATTTTTCGCTCGAGCTATGCCTAATTATTTTTAACATAATTCCTCTTGTACGTCATTGACAAATGGCACACTACACTTATATTACATCTTACCAACGTTTGCTAAGCTGATAGTGCGGCATGGAACATCAGAGTCCAATGGATCAGAAAATAACTGCACCACAAGTGTCTTGTCAATGTACACCCACAGCTCTTCGCCGCCAGAGAATGTTAACATTTCGTTGCCAGAGAAGTTGAAAGCTGTGCGTATTGCAGTCGTGAATCTGAAAAGAGAAGACAGTGGATAGAGCCAAATGGCTTACAGAACTAGGGCTTGTTCTGGATTCGTTAGCATGAAGTGACTAAGGTTAAAATTCTGACCCTGAATGCGGTGTCTGTCAACCACGTATCGGTATGGGAAGTTTTCACTCCAAAATGATGGTACTCATTTAAACATCCAACTAAAGAGACCCTGAGTGAAGTAAGGTATTTTACCAAAGACGAAGAACGTTACATAAAAATAACGTGAAATGCTAGAGCTCAAACCCGCCAAATTTTACGTCGAATTAATCACTAGAGCACCATCTTCCATGTGTGGTATATAACTATAATTACAATTATAATTATTTTCAATGGTGCGGTATTCAATTAAGTTACGTAAAACCAAAACCAATCCAATTCTTACCAATTAGACTACTCAGCCAATCTCAGACCGTAGTAAAACCAAAACCGAAACCAAAGCTGTTGCCTGATTACTTTCGACACTCAATTGAGAAGTTCTCTACAAACATTTTACATCGCTCCATTTTTCATGAACCATAATCCATCACCCATGCTACACGTTAGTCATCAGCGCCTCTCACATGACAGGGTGAACCACACAAAAACTACACAAGGCCTGAAACATACCCATAATTCCTGAGCGCATTGGTGAAACAGTCACGCTGTCCTTCAGCTCCCCATCCACGGCCATCTACTGGGAAGAATTCGTCGTTAAAATGCCGAAACACTGGATTGCCGTTAGAATCTGTCTCTAATTGTAACCCCAGCTCCAGTTTCTCTTCGTAATGTATGTTTCTGCCTGAATCACTTCTAAACCACTGAGAAAAACTGTCACCAGTTGGGTTGTTTGATATTGCCAGCCAGCTCCCATAAGGACTGTGCACATACTGAGGATTCTGGTACAGGTCATCCCTGAACGCACCAATACCGGTAAAGTCACCATCGGAAAACCTGAAAGGAAATAAAAATGTGTTATAATCCGTTGAGGCAATAACATAACTGTAAATTCTGTTTGCTTATTATCTCCAAGAAAGCCAAGGACGGAATTACCTCGTAGTTTCCGCGAAAAAAATCAAACAACCTGAAGAAAATTTATAATACTATTAAACAGGGGACCAAAAAAACAAAAAAAACAACAACAAAAAATCCGGCTTGCCCTTTGAGCAAGCTCTAACTGTGATTTACCACCCTAAAAGTCATTCTCACTAACCCTCACAAAAGTTTGTCTTTTACAGTATTTTCTCAAAAAGTTTGGCTTTTCTTATGGCCCATCGGACAAGTGCGGACAACATCCACTAGTCCGACTGAAACTCTACTAACTCTGGGCTACTGCACAGAACTTTTCTTTCCACACTGTATTAGGCATGATAAATGGGCAAATAGTAAAATATATATAAGTATATTTCACATACTTTAAAGAAATTGATCTCCTAACAAACTGTTCAGACGTTTTGTCCATAGTAGGATACGATTAGTGTACCTTAAATTACAAGTTTAATCACTGTTGGGATCAACACAAATATTACTTTTTATATTTTTTGGGGTAAAAGGACCTCTTCAACTTTAGGGATTTTGCGATGAAGGAAAAGGCAAACAAATCAAAGATATCATTTTTTATCGGCAGAAATGACTGCTGCAGCACAAAAGTTGTCTATACTGAGAAAGCGACCTGTTTTAATGAGTAATTCACTTACTGGAAATCATAATAGGCAACGTCCAAGTAATAATTGGAACTGTTTAGGGAGGCATTAGTCACAGGGGCTATGAAAACAGAAATAGAAAGACAAGATGAGTGAAATTGCCCATTACAATGACCTTTTGAACAGTCTTGGACAAACTTACCCCCACCCCCCAACCTATTTATTATACAAACACGCAGAATACATTGTACCATCTTTATTCTGTAACTCAACGATGAAGATAAATTTGTATTCTTGCTCTCAACGTCGGGTGGAGATCCTGGGGAGGTTGTAACATTGCTGTTCAATGCTGTACGGCCTTTTAAACAAATATATTATAAATCAAGAAAAAAAAGTAATATATCAATCACGAGAGACCGTGTTCCACCACATTCCCAGACAACGCGAAGAAAGTTAAAAAGACAACGCGCTGCGGGGTATTTGTGACGAGCTTTCAGGTGCTTGGAAAATATATGTAAAACACTGTCTCAGGTATTTGATACATGTTCTATATGGGGGAGCAAGGTTGGCACAGTGGCGAGAGCGCTCGCCTCCCACTAATGTGACTCGGGTTTCATTCTGGCCCGATGCCATATGTGGGTTGAGTTTGTTGTTGGTTCCCGCCTTGCTCCGTGGGTTTTTCTCCGGGTTCTCGGGTTTTCCTCCCCCCTGAAAANCCCCCCCAAACAATCCATTATACAAATACGCAGAATACATTGTACCATTTTTATTCTGTAACTCAACGATGAAGATAAATTTGTATTCTTGCTCTCAACGTGGTGTGGAGATCCTGGGGAGGTTGCTGTTCAATGGTGTACGGCCTTTTAAACAAATATATAATAAATCAAGGAAAAAAAGTAATATATCAATCACGAGAGACCATCTTCTACCCCATTTCCAGACAACGTGAAGAAAGTTAAAAAGACAACGCGCTGCGGGGTATTTGTGACGAGCTTTCAGGTGCTTGGAAAATATATGTAAAACACTGTCTCAGGTATTTGATACATGTTCTATATGGGGGAGCAAGGTTGGCACAGTGGCGAGAGCGCTCGCCTCCCACTAATGTGACTCGGGTTTCATTCTGGCCCGATGCCATATGTGGGTTGAGTTTGTTGTTGGTTCCCGCCTTGCTCCGTGGGTTTTTCTCCGGGTTCTCGGGTTTTCCTCCCCCCTGAAAACCAACATTTTCAAATTCCAGTATGATCAGGGCAGAGGTCTCGCATGAAAACCAGCTAAAGCTGATGTGGCGTCCTCTCTAAATGTTCTAACCTGTTTATATTTTTCTCAATCAAAACTAACTAAGTTCAAAAAGTATAATATCTTGAATGTGTGCAACAACGTCTTACCCCTTCCCTCCAGGGTGGTGATACTTGCTTTCTCACTTTTAGGGGAGGTCTGAGTTTCAATGGAACCTTGTCCCCCTGGGTCATCAGGTAAGTTTGTTCCATTAAAGGCTTCTACCGTCATAGTTACATGGCACACATAGTCAATACCAGCCTGGACCCCATCAGCTTGCTCAAACAAGAAAAAATCGCTTGTGGTTGAGCCAAAGAGGGAGGCGGCATCTGCACTGTCACAGGTCGCATTGTACTCCACTCTTAAAACCTGCAATTACGTTACAGCAATCGTCTCAGAACGGTGTTTGAAAAAATGTTACATATTGTTATTTATCATTAAGGGCTGAGCATTGGTGAATCTGGTTAAAAAAAAGTGAGCCACTGAGATAGAAATAAAACGAATATTTAATGTCGAGTCGTGAAGGAGAAAGGAGATACCGATGTTCAGGTCATACTTCAAGACAACTTTTGGATTGTCTTCAAATTTTGGACAAAAATTAACGCAACAAGTCCAAAAAACTAACGACTGGTGTAACGTTTTAGACAACTATGAACGTTTAGTTAGTCTTTAAAATCTCTGAAGGTTGTCCTTTACATAAGCCTTTTTGGCGTCCATGGGCTTCCTTGCCTTCCTTGTAAATTTATTTGAAATTAGTGTGTGGCAAACCAATAATAAACTGAAACTAACCCGAAACTTTGTAAGCTGTAAAATAAGAACAGGTTTGCTCTTCACAAACTGATTGGTGCGCACAACTAGAGATGGCTGACTTCACATTGGTTACTGATTATTATAGCTCAAGGGGACAATTGTTTTAAAAACAATTTTCTTCCAAACGTGAATCAACTCTTGAACTCGTTGTACTCAGTGTTGTAATGTAAGCCGTGATAAAATGGAATGAAATCAAATGGAATGACGTTCCCTTGTAAACCGCAGTCGATGCATCACAACGGTTTTGCCAAATGTGCTCTACCAGGACTAACACTGCTCCAAGGTCTTGCCCATAGCCATTTTTGGCAAAGGAGAAAAAAATTGAACTTTGTTCTTGTGGCGATTACTGGAAGCATTTTTCAAACATATGACAGGTGCAGCTTTCGCCAATCATACCACAGTAATACGTTTCCAGAAATAGATTTAAATAGCACGGTTTGCAGGCATTTTCAGGAAAACTTTTGTTTTTTTCCTTTTCCAAAGTTTGCTTTAGGTTTCCCATACACCAAAAGCAAAAATTAGTGGTTCTTCAGCGCATTCCGATGTGTATCATGTTGTTATTTCGATCAACAGGAATATAGCATATTTGGTCCGATTTCTTTTTTTAGATTTCTAGAACCTCCAAGGTATTTCCTAATTTCGAGGGCTTTCCAGTCCTGAAAAATGCCAGTAATAAAGAGACAGAAGACTTTACTGGGAAAACCCTTCAATTTAAACTTAACCAGCTGAAGAAGGTCTTTTCTGATATAAGAAATGTCTTAACAAAAAGCAAGTAACAAGTAACAAGTAACATTACATCTGTAATATTCCACGTATCCACAAACGTGGTATTTTTGTCCAGCGAATATGGCGGATATAGCACTTCGGGTCTGTCCCAGTCCACTTGCAGCTGAAAATCACCGGGGGCTGAGGCAGATATGTTTACAGGTGCTAATGAAGTGGTAAGAAACAGCGATGTTAGGATATGAAAAACAAATCCCTTCCAAGAAGGTATTACTCGGTATTCAGTGAGGAAACGTAATACAGACAACCCATGAAGGGTATAATAATCTTGAATACAATTGAGGCAATTGGCTTGACCTGCCATAAAGTTGTGACACTATTCAACAAACTCTTTGGGACCCAAATAAATAACCTCACTTGTCGTTACTAATTTAATACAGCTGATGAAGTAGCTGAGGAAGCTCGGTTAATTGAGCAAGCAAAAGCTTTTCTAAATGTTCCAGCTTTTCCTTCTTACACCTCTGAGTTCAACGACAGATTTAATCATAAAAAAAATTAAATGCGGTGTGCATTTTAAGTCGATTTTTGTCAGCCGTGAGTTGTACTTGGCTGAGGTACAGCCTTTCAATGGCAAAGTCCCGGCCACATCCGTGCACGATAAATGACACTTTTGCTGCAGATAGACATATACTTGAAAAACATCAGGCCACTGTTTTTTCATTCAAGTTTACCCCAATGAAATCCATTTTAATCTTCTGCAGTTTTTCCCAAAGCAAAGGCGAACTACGTCCGGACTCAAGAGAAAACCAAACAACAGAGAAACCTGAATTACGCGGACACCCTTGGGACACTCACTAGTGTCCGCTTAATACAGGATATCTACTCTGAAAAGGTTCTAATATAGTGCGCAATAATACTTAGTTATTAACCCTCTTGTAACACAGTGTAACACTGTGCAAGATCAAACACTGCTCATAGCATAATGTCCAATCAGTCAATGCATCAATCTGGAATCTACTTAGCTTTAAAACGACATCGCTGGACTATGTTAAATGAGTCTGAGCTGAGCTTTTAGTAAAAAAATCCCTTGTGTCCGCTTATTGCAGATTTTGTGCAACAAAATGACTCAATACTGGTGTCCGCGTCCTCTCAACAGGAGTGTCCGCTGAATGCAGGTTTATTTTACAGTAAGTGTGGGAAGAAAATTTAGCGACTCAAACTGGTGTCCACTGAATAGAGGGTGTCCGCTTAATATGGGGTCCGCTTAAGGTTTCACTGTATCATTCCGAGGAAGTTATACGTGCAAACAATGCATCACGTGTAGGTTCTGAGTACATACAGCATGTGAAATCTTGAACTGGTTGATCCTCGTAAGATCCGCCGGGATAAAATTCCACAGAGGCAACTCGTGGCGGCGACACACACACTGCGGCTCTACCCTGACTTAGAGCGTTTATCACAGCAACCAAAGAGCTGTACACATTACAGTCACATGCAAGATTGTTCCCATTGAAGTTCCTGCAAAGATAAATGCACCCTTCGTGAGCTCATACTGTGATCTTTCAGGAATTTCAAAGTAAAAAGTAAGAACACTATAACGTAGCTACTGGGAAGGTCTACTTACAGACTCCCCAGATTTGGAAGATTTACAAAGCATTCCTGGCCGATATTCTCAATCTTGTTGTTCTGTAAATTACTAACATAAATAAATTGATGATTGGTCAGTAATTCAGCGTTTTCTTTTCAAAATCAGTTACTAAGATAATACTGTTCAACAACTATCACTTAATTCTAAAATTAAGAAAAAAAAAACATGCAAAAAAATGATAGATGGTAATTAGCGACATTAAAGTGGAAGTTCTTACTCTTTAAGGTAAGGGATTACATTGACATGACAATTTCCATAAGGTTATGTAATTTCTAGATTAGAGAACTTAATAATTTGCTTAAATGTTTTACAAGTATGAAGAGAACGCCTCGTTATGGTTGCCAAAGACATCACTTTTCAAAATTCCCTAACTTTTCACTGACGTTTCCCTACAAAAAAATTAAATTTTCCAAGACCAAATAAATACAAAATGTCAGATATAGTAGCGGCGTTCTAGCCTTCCCTTACAGCAGTCCTTTCCACTCATTCATTAAGACTGATAATTTTTAAACAAATTTTCCTTCTGTATTAATGAAAAATACCACTGAGATCACTCTAACCTCAATGTTTTAACTCAGCCGTGTTAAATAATTTCATTTTTCCGTGACTCTAAATAAAATTCCCTGACTTTTGCCTGAACTTGAAGAATTTTTTTCCCTGACAATTTCCCGACCTCTGGCAAGCTTACACGTCAAAATTCTGAACCAGCATTTCATGTGAGCTTAACTTGAAGTCAGGGTTACCAAGGGTTACCAAGGGTTACCAAGGCATCTTTTATCATTGCATTCTGACCCAGCATCTTATCGCAGCTCAGGTTGTTTTCTGTCAAGGTTATTTACCCCGGATACTTATCTATGGGTTCTCAATTTTTCACTGGACGTTCATAATTCATAACTGAATATAAATGAAAGATGACGAATTCAGCATGTCAGGAACATGGGACAAGAAAAAAAAAATCCGGGTTAGCAACAAGATTGTAACTCTCGCTCTATTTTGACCATCAACAAGGATATAATGACTGAACAATGATTCTGACAGAATGGGCAATACTTACAGAACATTTAGACTTCCTAACGAAGGAAATGTGGGCAAGAATACAATCTGATTATCCTGTAAATATCTGGAAGGAATACAAAAATGATTGTATGACCAAAATGACACAATCAAGAGTGAAAATGTCAGGAAAAAGCAAGCAAGATCTTGATTTTGCAGCAGAAGCTAAAAGATTAACTTTTTTAAATGTATTGCATGTGCATTTTAAGCTTTTCAGATGCTAAGTTTCTTCCAAATACACGCTCCACCATGTGGGGTATCTATTGTATATAATTAACAATCCTTTTCTTCCAACGTAATTTATGTTTGAGAGGGAAAAAAAAAGAGGCATTCACTTGTTACACAGGCTAGTGAGAGACACCCTGTCTTAAAATAATGTATGTCTTTAACGAGTACTTTCAAAAAATGTTTAATTTTAACTGTACTTGCTGTATTTGTATTTGAAACTATTAAATGATTATAAAAGCTTTGTGAGAATAAAACCGCTCAAAAATGCCTTTTGGACAATGATTACTAATACTCAACTCAAAGTTTATTGTCAGAATTTTATCGTATTTCAATTTAACATCGATGACAAAAAAAAGGCATAAATTTTCAGGCTATACCAACAGAACACTTACATTCGTATAACGCTTCCCAAGTTATTAAATGCTCCAGCCTGAACCTCACTGATGCTGTTCTGTCTCAGATCTCTGCACAAAGCAATTGTAAAAAAATAACTTGGATTTAGCGCTTGGAATGAACAACATATCTTAAAGGAGCTATGTCACAGTTTGCACATCTTGACAATTTTAGCTTAAATGTCTTTTAAATTTAGATTTTAATTTTGTTTTTGGCCTAAATTTTATCAAGTTCGTCGTTTCTAATCCGTTTTAATCTTCTCCATCCCTAACTATCCGTGTTCCTGTGTAGTTTGTTATTAGCTCTTTGGTGTTTTTCTATCTTAATAAACTACTATTTTCAAGTTTCCTTCAATTGAAAAGTAATTTTGTACATAACCAAAGTACTGTGGCTGAGCTCGTTTAAACTTAGGTAAGTTGAGAAAGGAGTCTTGGTATTTTACAGCTAAGAGCTCGTTTTTGTTTTATGTACCATTTGAACTTCATTCCACCAAACTAATTTAACGACATCTTACAAAGTATAAAGCTTTGGAAACAGCTTTAACAAGTTCTGAAACAATTCCTTTTTTAAAATAAACCTAATTGTCACTGGAATTGTTTTGTATTCAAATAATAGTGAAAGATACTGGTGATTGACAAAAGTTGCTATGTGCTGATCTACATGTCAATCCCAGGTACGTAGTTGAATAAGTTGATAAATCTTTCAGTACTTACAATTCTTGTAAGTTTGTTTGATGCTGAAATAAGTTGGTTCCAAGCGCTGAGATATTATTTTNACGGATGATCCAGAATCTCCAAACAGCTTTCCTGTAACAGCTTGAATGGCATTGTCCTGAAGTTCACTGAGACAAAAAAAATGGAATTGAATAAAAAAGGAGCTAATGATAGTTAAATGCCATGTGGCGTGAAAAACACAAGCAACCGAGCACCCCTCCCCCCCTCCAACCTTCGAAAGTACAAGGTCTAAACTGTAAACATAACCAGTCTGGGGAATATGCTTTTCTGAGATGTCTTTAAAAGTAACAATGTCAAGCTCATTTGACTGAGTTGTCACAATAATAGTTATGAATAGGAATCAAATGGTTCTTTGTTGACTCCTTGTACTTACAGGATTCCATTGCTCACTATGAGCGACAGGAAAGGGTTTTCTTCAAACGTGGCAATCTTGCTGCTATACAGTTCACTAGAATAAAAAAGACATTGGAAAGATCATACTATTATAAATAAATTACAGAGTTCATTGCCACAGGATATTTGCATAGGTAATCACACGATTTCGAAGGCAATTTGAAATAATGAAAACTTTTCAAAGGCTGCTCATTCATTCTAGATTGCATGAGAACGATCATATGATGACTTGCTAATTATGCACTTGAAAAAGTGACCGTTGACAATCTTTGGCTATACATTAATTGATTTAGACAGTGGACAGTGATTATGGTTTTAAATACATCTTCAAAGTTTTCGGAAATTAACTACCCAATAATGTTGGGAAATCTTTGGAAATCTTCGGTTTGATCTTCGGCAATCTTTGGAACTCCCCGGAAGGGTTCGAGTGGTGCTCAAAAACCCTGGAAAGTGTTCGGGTGATAATCATTAATTGTCTGAAGGGTTCGTGTGATCTTCGGAAGTGTTTGGAAATCTTATTATTTTCGGCTATCTTCGATGACCGTAGGCAGTCCTCAGGTGTCTTCCTATTAACTTCGGAAATTTTCACTGCAATTTACACGCGTATTACAACTTCACTCAGTGTTACACTTTTTGCACTGGTGCTACGCTTGAACTACACTGCTGTTAGCAATTACAAAATTAGCAATAGATAATCACTGTATGCAGTATACCAAAAAAAAAATTCTGCTGTCTGTGAGAAAATAATAAAAAGTGAATACTTACAGATCCCAAGTAACTGTCACGTCTTTGAATGCTTCAGAGGATATCGTTGTCAACTCCAGTCCATACAGCTCACTAAACACAACAGAAAAAAGAAACACTCAACATGCTGCGCTGGAAATTATAAGCTCTATATATCCTTTCACTACAAAGAAAAACTTTGGTAGCCCACGACACGCAGTTGTAAAACGTGTTACCTGATCTGCAAACAGTATTTTTTAAAATAATAAAATGACTTGGAAAGTAATTGGCTGCAAACAAGAGTGGAGAGGTTCTGCTTTCTATCCTCACTTATTGAATTCCATCAAAAGAAAAATACGTAACTATACAACGAAACGTCTTTACATGCAGATATTTGGTAGTCTATTTGTACAGTTGAATCCTTCGACAACATCCGCCTGGAAACAGAATTGATTAGCTCTTGCGGAAAAGAGAAGGTTTTCAAAACAATAAACTACCACTTGACTTTTTCGCAGAAGTTGTTAAAACCTACCATAAAAATAAATCAACCAAAAAAATGAAACAGGGCAAAATTGAAAGTTTGTTAAATGTTAATAAACATACAGGTAGCAAATGTCCACATTATCAAAAGCACGAGAAGCAATTTTCTTCAGCACATTTGAGCCAAAGCGCCTGCAAATGAAAAGTAGTTGAACAGTAAGATATATGCACTTAACTACAACTTAATAGTGGATGATCTTGCCTACACACATGGACTTTAGAGTAATTACATCTTGAATATTGAGCTAATAATAAAAGAAATAATAAATATAGTAAAATATCTATGAAGCTTAGTTATGATAATAAAGCCAAGTTTGAAGGCATAAGGATGGCCCCTGCCTGTTAAAGAGTCCAGTGAAAGATACAGACTTGCATACAAGCATTATGGCTGAGAGTAGACAGTTATCTGGAAAACATGTTAGCTTGCCAGAGGACATTTTCGCTCATGAACACTACAGTTAAGTTTATGTAACTGACCTTCTCTTTAGGCACCGAAACTGACTTCGATCACTTTTTCAAAATATCAAGTGCACTCTTGGTCTAACTTGAATTTAATCTAATTGTTTTAAAGCTCGTTTAAACAAATATCTAACTAAAAACAATGTCACTTACATGTAATTATAGTATGTCCATTGAACGTTTTTGATTCAAATTTCTCTCACTGCACAATCTGAGTTTTTCTAATCTTTTAATCGAACTCTTTTGTTCATATAGTCAAGCCCAATTTGATGTGAAAAAATATCTGCCTATGGTGACTAACAAAGAATCAAGCTCATCAGCTTTAGACACTTACATTGTGCAACCAGATCCTTGTATATTTTGAAAGGCTCCAGATTCAATAGAGGAGATTCTGTTGCCTCCAAAATTCCTTGAATAACAAAATGGAACATTGCATCAAAAGCCATATTTTTCACTTTGTAGAGATAGTAACAACACAAATAGATTGTATGATACCATTTTAGAAATACTGTTTTAAAAACCTTGTGGGAAAAGGCAGGCTAAAAAAAACGCACGTCTGATTGTCTGGGGAAGGTACAGTTTTGATCTTGGGCAAGTGTTTCAGTGGAAAATACACAAAAAGAGCCACAATACAGTATTCCCTTTTGAACAGACTATTCCCTCCTAGAAAACTCGGGCTTGTTGCCTAATTGTAAATACAAAGTAGGTCTAAAAACAGAAGCATATAAAAATGTTAAAATATATATATATTAAAAACCGGATCGTTTATGTCATATAAGTGGTAATGGTATGATCCTACAATTGAGGACTACCAGAAACTGCAATGTCAATAGTGATGTCAATTTTATTACCATTTTATTAAATTGTATTTATTTATCATTTGCAATTATTTATTATCAATTATTTTAATTAACTAATTATGAAATATAATYATTAAGGTATTTACGTTCAATGCTTGTACGTACCACAGAGTATTTCGTGAAAACTCTGAACAACTTCCTGAGCATGTGACATTAACAAATGTCCCACTGCCAATTGTGGTGATTCTGTTATTTGAGATGTATCTGCGAATGCAAAGTTATGTCTGTTCACGGCTGTTTTGTTTCATTGTTTGGTTTACATCAAGAACGACAGCAAAAGCAAACTCGAAAACAATCGTCAACAACTAAGATACTGTAGTGTTCAATGCGGCAATCACTTATTAAAAAAAAAACATTTGCCAGAAAGAAAATCAGCACAAAAAATTACCAAGGCAACAGTCCTGTAAAATGGCTGCAGAACTGCATATTGCACTAGAACATGACTTCACTAAAAGCACTCTCCGCGATTCTAGAACTACTTACAGTCTATCAAATCGTTTGTTGTGAAAATCTCCACCCACTGGAAGTGTTGTGAGCTGATTATTCCTAAGGTCCCTGAAATGGGAAATAAAAAAGTGTCACAAGATAAACTACAGCCTATAATGTACAAAATAGAAGATCAAAGACTGCTCATAGCACAAAGTCCAGACAGTTCATTCATCAATCTGGAATAACCTATTAAGCTTTCAAACAATAATCGCAAAACCATGTTAAGGTGTTTGAGCTGAGCTTTTAGAAGTAAAAAGCCCTTGGAGTGTCCGCTTATTGCAGGCTTTGTGTAACAAAATGGCTTAATATTGATGTCCGCGTCCGCTTAACAGAGGTGTCCGCTGAATGCAGGTTTATTTTACAGTAAATGTGGGAAGGAAATCTAGGGACTCAAGCTGGTGTCCACTTAATAGGGGGTGTCGGCTTAATATGGCGTCCGCTTAATACAGGTTTCACTGTACGTATAGTTTCCCCCAAAAGGCGTTTTTGACTGATACCCTTACAAAGGAATCGAAATTATTTAAGAAAGATATTCTGCAAAAGAATTTATCTTTTCTAACTGCCACCCACCAACATTTACCCATAATGCAATAACATCATGGACCATTTCTCAATTAGTTACCAAAACAAGGTGCCACTTACAAGTCGTTAAAGGTTGTCATAACTGATAGAGTTCCATCTTCAATAAATGCAATTTCATTGTTCGCCAAATATCTAAAAGGAAGGAAAACACTATTTGTGAACAAGGCTCAAATGTCTACAACATTTTTACAAAATTTAAAGAAATAAAAAGATAAAATATAATTGACCTTGAATGATCAGTTGCCTGTCGAAGAATTAAACAAGAAGTGTGGTCAGTGAGTATAACCGAGTGCAGACGTTTTCTTTTTTCTATCCAGCATCATAAAGAGTTGAATCTGACCCTACAGCGATCACATTCCTGTGAAATGACACCTTATCTAACTACACTGAAAACGCCAAGTGTACCAGTCCCCGCCACATTATGTTGTGTTTTCGCTGAACGAGAATAATTAACTAAATAATATACACAGGAATGCTATCAAATGCGATCAAATCGTTTAACAACTTTGAGATTTACGTAACTCTTAAAAGGACACTACCAAGGCAATTTTGCTGTGCGTATTTTTGGACAGAACAGATGAGCGAGTACCTTCCTTTGTACAAAGAAAATATTAAGATATTACATAAAGCATTGAATAGAGAGCGATTTGTACTTTAAGTTTGAATGGAGAGCAAATTGTACTTTTTGTTTAAATGATTTTCCACGTCTTGCTTGGAAAATATGAAAACAGCTTCTTCCAGACTTTTTCAATTTGGCAACAAAACCTTTTGCGTGCGTAATCTTTATGACATTCCTTCATAGGTACAGTGTACTTACTATGTCTTAATTTTTGAACAAACTAAACTAATATATGAAGGTTTCGATCAGTGAGTATAAGTGAGTGCAGACGTTTTTCTCTAGCCAGCATCATAAAGAGTCGAATTTCAACCTATGGGCCTGTTTACATGGAGGGAGGGTGCCTCGGCTAACCGGGCTACCCAGCTAACCGAGCTATGTTGGGAAGGCTAACTTCTCATACGTTTCTTTAGAAAACGCATTGAAGCGTTTCCATGCTAGACAGGGTAGCCCAGCTACCCGGGGCACCCGGCTAGGCGGGATAGCTTTTTACCATGCAAACGGTTTGCCCCGGGCTATCCCAAATAGCCGGGGTGAGATAAACCGCGAAAGCATGGTCGCGCGAGGTGAAGTTTTTCGAAGTTACCATTTGCCAGTGTTATCTGCCGAACAGAATGACAGTCAATCTGAAGAAATTAATGTTATAGATGAGTCACAGGCAGAGAACAGGCCCGTGCCCGTGCAGGAAGCTGAAATAAGGTTTCTTTGTTTCTTTGGTCGGCCATTTTGTTTGTGCTTAGCGGCTGCTCAAAAGATAGCCCACGCAGCTCACTCACCGTCCCGGTTAGGTGAGTTGCATGTAAAGGCAGGCTTTGTGTCAACCTTTCTATTTAACATTAATTTTCTTTTAATGCCTGTAGTAATATTACTCCTAATATTTAAAAGCACACAACACAGTCACGGTAGTTACGAAATATAGGGAAATGTACTTACAGTCTAGTCAATGAACTTAAATCCTTGAACATAATCTTCAAAATCCTGCAAATTTGGTTGTCTTGCAAATTCCTGCAATTTACATATTAAATGAAATAACCTTTTTTGTATCATAAATAAAGTATTTATTATTTATCATTATTGCATACTGCTTTCGATATATCAAAATTCAGCTTAGCAGCGAGGCTTAGAGGACACAAACAAAGGAAATTGAATGAGCATGTTTATTCGTTTCTTTTGTTTGTGTCCTCTAGGCCTCACTATCAAGCTAAATTTTAATATATCGAATGTGGCCTATTAATTGATTGGAATTTTCAGTGGCACACCCCACGGAGAAGTTTTCAGATTGACCTGAAATTTGGAGCGATGGTTTTACAGGGCAAAACTAGAGAACCAGGAGAACAAACTGAGAATCAGAATGGGGACCAACATCAAACTCAACCCACTTATGACGCCAAGTCTACCAATTCGAACCCTGGTCACACTGGTGGGAGGCGAGTGCTCTATCTGCCTCACCGTCCTTGCTTCCCAAACAGCTAAAATACAAGCAAGCTTTACTAACTGTACATGTGTCTAGGAGCCAAAGTGAAAAGACTGCTAAAGCAAATGTAAGCAATATATTTAACTTACAAGGTTTGTAGGTTTGTCAGTCCATGGAATGCAGTATTTGGTACAACGTTGATAAGGTTATTTTGAAGATGGCTGTTAAAAAAAAATTACACTTCATTGATTAATTCATTCTGCGCGTCATGTAACGAGGGGAAAGAAAAAGATTGGCAGGTTCTACACTCTCTTTTCACCAACTCCACATTAAACAGCCTTTTCAAAATGTCATAAAATCTGCGCGTCATGTAACGAGGGGAAAGAAAAATAGTGGCTGGTTCTACACTCTCTTTTCACCAACTCCACATTAAACAGCCTTGTCAGAATGTCATAAAATGTAATAGAAATCAAACTTTGGTTAGTTCAGACAGAAACAGCATAATCATAGGTTAATGTCGATCTATCAATGATGGAGTCATTAAAACATGTTACCCTCTGTGCCTACCAGCTAATTTAACCTGCTAAACGAGTGTTTATGAAAGTCTCACAAGAAAACAAAGATTTGGGTAAGTTTGAAGGAGCGCAAGGCGGAAAAACGAGCGGATATTATTGAGGGTGCTAAGTTTTTATTAGCAGTAAAATTTCACGGACGTAAGTTTTCGTTTCTTAACAGGAGTATTTTGCAACAATAAATAGTTATAACTTAACTCATGAAACGAAGTTGAGTTTTTTAATTCNTTTACCCTCGGATTTCAGAGTAGCTTATGCAGCTAATATCTCTGAGCATTTAACCATCAGATGAGAGATATACCACCACACGGGAACTACGTCCCCAACTCTTTTCGATCATACTGCGTAACAGTAAAATGAATGCTTTTGCAAAAACGTCTTCAAACATCTGGTAAGCTAGCGATGGATGAAATCAAAAGATGACAGTTAAGTAAATTACTGAAAGAGTAACACTTTTTTTACATACAGTTGACTGACAACTGGCAAATGGCTTTTCCCTTGCACAGCTAATGGAACATAATGAAAACTGTTACTGTCCAGATGCCTGCAATAAAATAAGAAACCTATGTAAGCAACTAACTTCCCCTTGCTATTTCACAGTCGAATAAACTGAGTTTTAAAATGAATCTGGAACTGCTTTGATTTTGCTTTAGTATAATGCTTTAGAAAAGGATTTAAATTCTCGCACCACTTATTCAACCAAATGCAGTGGACATGAAAATTTAAGACATTCGACTCAAACGTGCAGTCACACTGGAGTAAGTTTTGGGACTGCTTGATAATGTCAAACCAATGAACTAAACTTATCCCTTTTGTTTTCCCTTGTTAATTCAACAATTTCGTATTAAGCTAATTCATCAAATTTCACCAGTTTCGATACACGCATGCATGATTTTTAAAATCGACCACTTTGTAATCTTAGTGAATTCAAATAAATTAAGCCATGATTCACGCAACAGTGAAGTGTTCTCAGTGTCAAAGGGAGTTCAGGCAACTAGAAAATTCCCTTCAGTACATTTTTTCATCCTCCACAGTAGATATTTGTGTTTTTTTTTTGAGTGCTAAATCAATAAATTGCCATAATTCGATTAGACTAGTCACTATGTTTGCTTTTGCTTCTTGCTCGGTTTGTGAAAAGGCAAAGCGTCCAACAGACAACCGACAGTATTATTTCTTGAAACAGACACAATACTGAGTGTGAGGGTAAGGAAGACAAGTTTAAACAGTGAAAAGAATTGTAACCATTGCTAAGCATAGTAACTGAAGCCACTTACAGTATAGTTAAACTGGACAGATTCCTAAATGCCTCTGGGTGAACTGTGGAGTTAGTGAGCTGGTTGCCTGAGACGTACCTGCAAACAATAAAAAACAGTTAAGGTATCAGCCACCCTTCAGGACCGTCCTCGCGCGGATCGCTTTAGCGCCTTTGTTTTTCATATAAACCCCCTACAAACTACAAATTTTCTGAAAGCTTAATAGTTCCAGATTATGTTTCTGAAAGTGAGTTCTGAATTTTTCTACAAGCCATAGTAACAATAAAATTGAACATATACAGGGCGGCCACTTCAGATATATCAATGTGGGCCCCGTTAAAACAAAATAAGATTACAAACTGCCAAAATACCCCATGGAGAGAAACGTTGTGGGTCAGCATGCTACCCATAGACATATTGATGAAGAACATCAGCCAATCAGAGTATGTTCTTTGTTGAAGCTATATTATTATTTTACAGTAAACAATTCTGAATCTCCTAGTGTGAATATAATAGATGTGAAAATGTGTAACCATGACATGTTAGTTGTGCAACTTACAACTGTCGAACATTATCAAGCAGCCACAGGTCCTCTTCTTGGACACTTGATATTTGATTGCGGTGGACAAATCTACCAAGAAAAGAGTGTCAACGGTTTATTTTAAAGAAAGAGTGACTCTTAAGTGACAACACAACAACACATCTATGTGAAGTCAAATACTAAAATTCAAGTTAGTACCGGTGTACATTGTACCAACAATCTCGGCAACTAAATTTCTATGATCCCAGTGTGTGTTTCGAAAAGTAACACTTAGCAAGAAAATGGAAGAGTCTAACTTACAATCGTTGCAAGGTCCTGATTCTTTCAAATGGTTTATGAACACTTTGCTGAGTGCTGAAATTTAAAAAGTTTTATTAAACGGTAGACAACAATTATACTCAGACATGTAACAGTGCTAAATTAATGCACTGGAACCGTACAACACGGTTCATTAATGCTACTGAACAAAAGATGCCCACAATAGCATCAGAATGGGACATAGGTGTAGAGCACCATATTTTGTAGATGTTGCGACCATTGATTCCACCTAAAGAGGATATGAGCCGTTTACAATTCACTAAACAACTAGTGTGGAATCCACTACACCACAAATTCAATCTTCCAAAAGAAATGTTGAAATATTTTCAGTTTTAAAATTACTATCAAAAACTGATAATAGTTTAACAGATATTTTAATTTGTTACTATATACTGAGGTTATAAATGTATAAATTAATATAAAATGACTTACGCATGAAGATCTTCAAGTAATGGTGAGAAATCTGAACTGGCAAAACTCGACAATGAAGTAATACGATTATTTTCTAAGTGCCTACAAAAAAAGCAACAGATTGCCAGCATTGAAAATACAAATTTAATCACCAACTAAGGTGGTGGTAAGGTGGTGGTGGTAATGGACATAATGGACCTAATGGATATCAAAGTATTAAGATCTGCTTTTAGTTATTTTCACCGGATCCTTCCAACGTCTTAATGTCACCCATCTATTCAGTGGGCAAACAAAGTCAAGTCCAATAGCCTAGGGCTAGTAGATTTTGTAGTCAGACCAGTTGATTCTGTCCTTTACTTGCCAGAGAGGCAATTGAAGTTTCTTGAGAAAAAAACTAACATTCAGGCTTTCTGGTTAGTAAACATAGTTACGGCAGGCACTCACAAGTATAAAAGAGATGGCAATGGTGAAGATGACTGTGATAAAGCTGGATGAGGAAAATTTGTCAACAGATTGTCATTCAACCATCTGAAAAAAGAAAAACATTGCGAAGATGCAATTGCAATTAGGAAACTTGTAGAAGACACACAAGAATGTACAATCAAGATTGCTAACTGGTTCACAACATTGTAGGCGACGCATACAAAACAAATTGTGCCATGACTAAAATTATAGCTGGCATCAATTTTACACTGTCTAATGGCCCCCTCTCTATAAAACATCTCTCTATATCTACAATGGCCAGTTAATTCTATTTGTGGGTGGCTGCAAAGGAATCTTATGCACTACATAACCTTTGGAATGAACATTCTACACTGGTACCAAACCATAGTGAAACCACCAAATTCTTCATGATGTCAATAAAACTGTAAGAATTCGATTTTCCACTGCTGGTATACTTACAGATCTTCCAAAGCAGGCAAGTTTTTGAAGGCATTGTGCATCACATATCTCGTCTGGTAAGGACTTTGCTGTTGCATTAAAATTCTAAAAGGAAACATACCAGCATTACTCCTGCATAACCCTACTCAGTGCTCAAAACCAGCTTGCCCATCACACAAACAGCTCTGAAATTTGGCTTGCCCTGAGCGAGTATTAGTTTACCCTTGCTTTGATTTGGTTAGCAAACAACTTTCCTGGGCCCTTGACCATGGGGCAAGTGAAAATAAGTTGTCGTCCCAGGTGACCATATTGTACTTTTTTTCTGCTACTAAGAGCTAACCACTGCACAGACAGTGATAACAAAATGACAAATTAAATAATCTGAGATGACTAATTAACATGTGATGTGTCTTCTTTTCCTTCAATAGAGTGCCATCAGTGCCTTTAGACTCTCATAAACCAGCGATTGGAGAATAGTTAACAACTCCATACTCTAGAAATACAAACAACTGTAACAGAGACCTAAGCAAGGAAGATATTATTATTAACATAAAAACTCCCTCAGTCATGTTTTTGTTCTACTTACAACACTCTCAGCTTTGGAAGATTTTCAAATGGACTGCTGAACGATTCTGCCGTTATGGTTTCTAAACGGTTCCCTCGGAGATCACTACAGAAATCAAGATATATACAATCTAAAATTACTGACAAACTACGGCTGTTAAACAGTTACAAACAATCCAAGGAACTCTGCAATGTAATTAAAAAAATTCAGGACAACAAGGTGGTAATTAATGGCGGCTGCCCACTTTGGCTAGAGTATCAATTTGGACTTTGTGGGGGAGGGGAGTGCATGCTATGATTTGGTTTCGTATCCCTTACAGTTTGGCCTGGGTTCATACAATTAAAGAGGAAAGTTGGTAACAGTTTCCAAAACTTCCCAGCACTGGAACTTTAATGGACCAACACTGCCACTCTTAATCAGTTGATTGTACAGTGATGGTATCAAACATGCCGCCAATCATTGGTGAACAAGTTGTGGTCATTTTCGTAAACTGCAATTACACTCTTTATTTCTCTGAGTAGTTTTGCAAAAAAAGGTTGCCTGATGGCAGGTTATCATTTTCTGGGCATAAGAGGTTGCAATAGCAACAGCATGCACATAATCTGTTGAAAACACCTTTAAATTAGGCTTGAGGTGCTAATACTTCAAAATTGTGCCTGGGGACACCCAATTTTTATTAATTTAGAAAATTTTGATTTATAGAATACCAAATTTTCAGGAAATCTACAAGTGGAGTTCACAACCATCTTCAAAATTGAACGCAATCCATAGAAACTTTCAAAAGTGTAAGAAATGACAAGAAAGATGTAGACTTACAGATGTAAAAGCTCTGGAATTTCATAAAACACATTAGCACCAATGGTTTCCAAATTATTCACGTGTAACTCACTGGATAAAGAAGAAAATAATAATATAGTAATAATAATACATTGTAATAATAATAATAATAATAGTAATAANTATGAATATCACTGTTCACTCAGTTTCAGGAAATAAACCCTACGCTTGTAAATAATTTTGAGTTATTCAAATTGATTCTGAGTCTGCTCTGTAGTTGCTTTATACAGCTGCAACTGTACTTAGTATACCTCTGAATAAGAAAAAAGAAAACTCACAAGTGAACAAGCTGGGAGTCATTTCCAACGAAAGGTCGCATGTTAGGAACAGTGAGGCTGTCAATCTCATTCTGATCCACAGACCTGCCAACCGCAAGCAAGAAAGCTATCAGTCAGTTAAATTTCCTTGTTATCTTGTTGGATTGTTTCTTACAAACAATAGGAAATGGTCAAGTTCCAACAAAGACTATTTTTATAAAATAGTTATTCTGTGGTTTCAGGCTTTTTTTGAAGAGTTTCATGCTTCAAAACAAACTGCTTTTTGCAGGAGTTTACAGGTGTAAGGACTAGATGGTCTATGGGTTATTGGGTGGAGATCACATTGAGTTGAAGGTAGATGTTGTAGAGATGAGTTAGGCACATGTATTTAACCCATATGAATGGCACAACATTCAACTATGGCAAGGTAAAAGGTTAATTGTCATTTATGATGACTCAAAATCATCTTTTGGAACTAGCTATATTCAATATTTTACTTTGGCTAGTACCAGCAATTTAGATATCCTTAATCAGTACTGAAAAAATACATTGCTCTTGCAATAACTGATACAAAACATTAACAGCTACTCAACACTAACTGAAGAAATCGCTAACTTATGGCTATCAGTATAAAAAGAAGTATTACTGTACTCACAGATATCGTAGTGACTGNATAAAGCATTAATCAGCAATGTTATAGTTTATGAATATCACTGTTCACTCAGTTTCAGGAAATAAACCCTACGCTTGTAAATAATTTTGAGTTATTCAAATTGATTCTGAGTCTGCTCTGTAGTTGCTTTATACAGCTGCAACTGTACTTAGTATACCTCTGAATAAGAAAAAAGAAAACTCACAAGTGAACAAGCTGGGAGTCATTTCCAACGAAAGGTCGCATGTTAGGAACGGTGAGGCTGTCAATCTCATTCTGATCCACAGACCTGCCAACCGCAAGCAAGAAAGCTTTCAATCAGTTACATTTCCTTGTTATCTTGTTAGATTGTTTCTTACAAACAATTGGAAATGGTCAAGTTCCACCAAAGACTTTTTTTATGAAATGGTTATTTCTAACTGTGATCATATATAGTTACTAACTATGCTGTGAGCTCAGCTTTTTTTAGAGTTTCACACTTCAAACCAACTGCTATTTACAGGAGTTCACAAGTGTAAGGACTAGATGGTCTATGAGTTATTGGGTGGCCAGAGGTCACATCGAGTTGAAGGTAGATGCTGTAGAGATGACTTAGGCACATGTATTTAACCCATATGAATGGCACAACATTCAACTATGGCAAGGTAAAGGTTAATTGTCATTTATTATGACTCAAAATCATCTTTTGGAACTGGCTGTATTGAATATTCTACTTTGGCTAGTGCCAACAATTAACATATCCTTAATCAGTACTGAAAAAATACATTTCTCTTGCAATAACTGATACAAAACATTAACAGCTACTCAACACTAACTGAAGAAATCGCTAACTTATGGCTATCAGTATAAAAAGAAGTATTACTGTACTCACAGATATCGTAGTGACTGGCAGTTTATGAAAGATCCACCAGGGAACTTCTTTAACTTGTTCTTGCTAAGGGCTCTGTAACACAATAAAGTACAAAACTGTGGATCTTTTTGCTGATGTCAGGCTTAAATTCTGATTTTTTTCATATTTCAAACAAAAAATCAACCACACCACTCGATTTATCGAGGTTCCATTAGAATCCATCGCAAGCTCATAAAAATATGGGAATGGGAACCCTAACTTGCCAATTTTTACAAAGAAATGTATGCGAAAAATTGTTGTCATTGCATGGCATTGGTACAAAGGTCCATTTATCCATTTTACACTTTATTTGTCCATTTTACATTTTGAGTACACACTAAGCATCTTTAACACAAGTCTTCAGGTTTCACAAATCAGATTTGTACTAAATGCTAGTCCAAATGTTACTATTTACAGCTTGAGTGCCACACATGTGTACTTCAGGACAGTATGGGGTGAAAATGAGTTGTTTAAAAGTGCTCCAAAGTGCAAAAGTGGAGCACATTTTCAAAGTTGGCTTAACCCATGGATGGGATGACTTGCCTTCCTTTCACATATTAATTCGCCAATGAAATGTGTCACTTTCCAAAAGCACTGCTGAATCCAGTTACATTCAATTCATATTTCATTGCATGAAAGTGATGGTATGTTAAATGACTCTGCTGCATTTCTGGAATAGCGCGAAAGCTGGAACCAGATTCATGAAGTCCCCCTGGGTAAGGATGTATCCTGATAAGTAATTGACTGTTTCTACACACAAGTTGGTAAAGGTGCATTCAGATTTTACCAAAGGAGAGCCGCATGGATCTAGCCTTGAGTTCATCTTAAATTATTCATACTTACATGTATTCTAGGTTGGGTAAATCAAACCATTCATTAGGAATCCAGTCAATCTCATTCTCAATCAGAATACTGCAGATAATAAATTAACTTCAAGTTTATTTTCAACTGTTCCATGATACTGAGATGGCACACAGGTAAGGTGCATTAATACAGTACTGTCTTTAAGCTAATTTGAGTGGCTGTTGTATTTTGGAGTCCTGTGACTTAGGACCATCAACTAAGTGGTTTCATTTGAAGGGATTTTTTCACGGTTTGGTGCATATGCAAGCTGCATCTGCTAACAACACATTTAGGTACTAAATAGGAGCTGGGATAATTCACTGTTCATTCTATAACATACTCTTGTAAGATGGATTACTGATCAACTAGCAGTTAATTTTTCAGCTAATTTACAGGAAAGTCAAACACATGTTGAACTGAAGAAAACTTACAGCTTCTGAAATTTACTGCAGAATTGCTTGTATTTTAAGAATTTAATTGATATAATTATGAAAATTAATTAAGTCAGCAGTATACTTAACAACAAAGGAATCAACAATTGAAAGAAATTTGACTCACATTCTAACCAAAGCCTTTGGCAAGTTGGTGAAGTTGTGGATAAACAGTTGGATTTTATTTGCATACAAGTCACTGAAAGGGAGATATAATAGGTTCATGTGTGTAAACATGGCTAGACTAAGTATAACAAAAATTTTGCTGTGTTTTAAACACGAAATAGCAATGGCACACAATGGCACTATTGCTAAGAATTATTGTGGGATATAGGAGTCTATAGACCCTATTCACAAATGGCTGCCAATTAAAAATTCTTTTGGAAGTATTAAAATTAGCCCAACTAACCTCGTTTTTGAGTAGATGATTCAAAAGAATTTTTATGCTCAAACGAGGTTAGTGGGGTTAATTAAAATGCATACAAAAGAATTTTAAATTGGCAGCCATTTATGAATAGGGTCTACATGTATAATGGTTAACCCTAGCCTTACAATTATTGAAAGCTAACTTCTGTCAGGTCAGTGATATTTAGGCTCATCTGAGTGCTATTTAGGCTCACCCTAGTGCCATTTCATCATTTTGCCATTTCATGTTTAAACATCACCCCAAATTCTTCTTTCACGTTTTAAAAATTGCATTTTCTAAACTGATCAGTAAGTGACAAATTATTCTTCCAGTCAGTTTACTTTAATTTACCAACTAGCATATTAAACTGAATTAATTCCATTCATATTCCTTAAATCATATCACACCCTTACTATACAGCTTTACTGTTCTGCAAGAAAATATAACTCTGATTGATTTCCTTGGTATTCCAAATTTTGGAACACAGACCCCTAAGCAGACCATTCAATATTAGTCTCAACAAATTTCTTCTTCGCACCTTGTACTTGTAAAAGACAACAGTTTATTGTTAAGCTGAATTTATTTCCCTTCATTGGCTGTCAGACAATATCAGTTAAAAGGTTTCAGTTTACAAAAGCACCCTGAAACCAAATATACTTGCAGTACCCTCCAACTTTGGTTCATGCTCACTAAGAATGGATGCTAAAATTATTGGCAGAGTTTTAAAAGAGCTACAGACTATAATTGCCACTAAAATTCTAACCTAATGGGAGATATAAAACTAATTATTCTCTGTATTCTTGGAAACCTAAGAAGCTTTTCTTTCTGATTTTTTTGCAAAAGTCTCACAAAATTTCCTTATCATTGATTACAAAATAGGAGATTTGAATTTTTGGGCAAAACTGAGGAATACTGATATACCTTCAAAGGATTCTTTAAAGGCAACAAAGTGGCCATAACAACAAGGTGATCATTAATTTGTAACAGGGTAGTGATAAGGCTGGGTCATCATGTACACTTACACGAGAATAATTCAAGACACTAACAAATGATGAAGTCACTTACAGCTCTTCCAGTGCAGCATTCTTTGAAATATCTGGAAAGTCAGTCAGTGCATTTTCAGCCAAATTTCTGTGGAGCAAATATTAAAATTTATACATGGGAGTGACACAATGCATAGTTCTCATCCACAGACACGTTTGTGAATCCTGTTTAGATTTACTAGATTTTTGAATTTTTTAGTGGAGTTTTCTCAAGATGATTCAGCTACAACTGTATTATAGAAAATGCTCTGATTAACTGCAACAAACAATTGGCCTTGCTTTATTATGATAGTTATTAATAATTATTTTACTCTTATTATGACTTGCATTTTAAACTTGCATTGTGTAGAACTATATGGAACTTGCATTTACAAGTACTTTATACTTACAATGTCTTTAAACTTGTCAAGTTGTGAAAAGCTGTGGCATCAATATATGCCAAGCCAGAGTTGAAAATTGTTCTACAAAATAGTGAAGACAATGGTCAATTGATGTACATTTTATTAATGTATTGTAGCTATGCCACAGCTATGTACAATTTTATACAAAGTCCAATTGCCACCACCTCTGGCGTTGCACTCTATTAGCCATATAGTAGCCATTTAATTATTTTTAAAGCCCTTTTAAAATATATTGTACATACAAATGTACTAGTTAAAAGTAGCTAGACTTCCCTCAGGCTGTTGGTTTTGCTATTGGCAAGGACATTTCTCACTAGCTATTAGGGTTACATGTACATATATACATGTGTAACTCGATCCAAGCTCATAGAAAAGAAATGGAGAATTGCTAGTGTACACATATAAGAAATGGATACAATTTTCTATTAACAGGTTTATGAAAAGGTCACCTTTCTCTGTCAAAAGTGGTATATAAAAGAGTTAGTAGTCTGGACCCTTGGACAGAACTCGGTTTCTTGTAGCAAAAAAACTGTCTACGTTGGTACGTCACCTGCTCACAGCAAGGACTTCCACATAAAAAGGACGGGGGTGCTCATCAGAAATTTCGAAAAGAATCCCTAAGAGGTACCAAAATCCTGTTTTGTGGGTGTGGCTTGAAATGTTTTTTCACCCCCAAGAGGTACCAATTCTAAAACAACAATTTTCTCCTCGAAGTCATTTCTTCTCAGCTCAAATACCCTGAAAAGTAGCGCAAAAGCTCCAGCTGTGGACCCATTGAGGCTGAACACCCTACCAAAACCAAAAGGTACCAAAACCGCGCTTTTAATCCCTAAAAGGTACGACAAGCACCCCTGTCCTTTTTATATTGGAGTCTGCCCTGAGCACCTGCCTCCCCTCGCCCTCCACTAGGGCTACCCTTTTCCAAGCCCATTGTGTTTCATAACCATTTTTGATAGGTTTTCTTCAGTTTCTGATTATACATTTTACATCTGGGTGGAAAGAGGCAGTCTCAGAGAGCAGCTGTGTATGTCTCACACAAGAATGTTTACCTGCAATGCCTCAACAGCAGCATATTTACAGATCCTCAAAAATGTGTACAACTTTAATTTGCAAAGCAATTAATACTGTGAAGTAGTATGTCTTTTTCTTTTTTAATCCAAATCTTATTTGCATTGATCAACTCCTTTCTTCAAGTCCTATTTTTTCCTTAGACAGTATATTTCATGCACAAGTGAATGGTGTATTTTGCATATTCTGGCTGGTTAAGCCAAAGAGAACAAAATACGGCTTCCCATTTTGCTTTGGTAAACAAAAACATATACACTGGTATATACTAAAACAGTTATTCAGCCTCAGTCCCAGTCAATCAATCAATCAATCAATCATTCAATTAATTTGTTCATGTCAAAACGTGGGATGAGATTGCCCTCCATATCAAAGGCTCAAGTATGGTATGCTTGTTAATGAACAATTTAATTAATGATTTCATGGAACTGATAATGAAAGCGGCAGATATTTACCACCTTTTCAGAACATGATTGTGAAATTATTTTACATACATGTCTTCAATAGTGACTGCAAGGTCCTCAGTGCTCAGCTTCTCTACCGCTCTGTTCCTAACGTTTCTGGAAAACAAATTTGACATATCAACAAAGATGTCAATGGACATACACACAGCATTTTTCCAAGTGTCACTTTCCTATGGTTTTGCATAATTTTGCCGAAAGCTTACAATATTGTATCTGAACATAAAAATTATGGACAATTATAAACATGACTGCAACCTTCTCTGATGAACAAGTCACATCAAAGCAAGCTGTTTGCTCTCATCTGAGATCTTTTAGCTCGGGTGCATGATCAAGAATATTTTTAGGTATAACAACATGAGGAAAAAGATCAGTTTTTTCCTTATGTTGATATATTCATGTTGTTATGTTGTTAGCATGTCACATTTATGTCAGCATACATGTTCACTCTGCAATCATTAAAAGACATAACATCCTTCTTATGCCCTTATGTTTATGCCGTTACATCTACATTTATTGAGTCAGCAGAAACTATATACAGTTATCATGCTAACTTTTAAATAACATAAGAATAATAAAATAATGCTAATTAAAATATCACACGTAATAGAAAAATACACATATATGTATAGTACACTGGACAAAACTGTTCTGGAGCAATGTTTTACCACAAAAAATTGAACAAACAAAGTGACATGACTAATTTTGTGATTGTCTTAATAAACTCACTAAATTCCACACATGGAAAAATATTTTTATATGGATCACACAAGAAAGGCTTGCATTACACCTTGTCCAAATTTGGTAACAGAGTCACAAAGTATGTAAAATCACGTGATTTCTGAGAAATGAGTCAAATGTAGAGTGTTGTTTTGCGAAGAAACTCTTCACGTGCTGGTGGATTTTTTGGGCAAGATTTTGACACAAAAGCATGAGAAAGACTTACACCTTTATTTGGCCACTGAAATACGATACTCTCTTCAGAGACTGATCTTCTTTAAACCGGCTTTAAACTGATCTTGCCACTAGACAAGTCTTCTGCTTGTTTTGAATATGGCTGCCTTTAGCTCGCGCTTCGCACAAGCCACAATTACACAAGATTAACTGCTGTGTTAAAGCGTGATCGGCTGAGAACTTCAGACACTGCTATTTTTGCTTTTAGGAAAGTTTTCGAACCTTTTTCTGGGCTCATCTACCAGGANGCCAATTTGTACAAAGAAATGTATGCGAAAAATTGTTGTCATTGCATGGCATTGGTACAAAGGTCCATTTATCCAATTTACACTTTATTTGTCCATTTTACATTTTGAGTACACACTAAGCATCTTTAACACAAGTCTTCAGGTTTCACAAATCAGATTTGTACTAAATGCTAGTCCAAATGTTACTATTTACAGCTTGAGTGCCACACATGTGTACTTCAGGACAGTATGGGGTGAAAATGAGTTGTTTAAAAGTGCTCCAAAGTGCAAAAGTGGAGCACATTTTCAAAGTTGGCTTAACCCATGGATGGGATGACTTGCCTTCCTTTCACATATTAATTCGCCAATGAAATGTGTCACTTTCCAAAAGCACTGCTGAATCCAGTTACATTCAATTCATATTTCATTGCATGAAAGTGATGGTATGTTAAATGACTCTGCTGCATTTCTGGAATAGCGCGAAAGCTGGAACCAGATTCATGAAGTCCCCCTGGGTAAGGATGTATCCTGATAAGTAATTGACTGTTTCTACACACAAGTTGGTAAAGGTGCATTCAGATTTTACCAAAGGAGAGCCGCATGGATCTAGCCTTGAGTTCATCTTAAATTATTCATACTTACATGTATTCTAGGTTGGGTAAATCAAACCATTCATTCGGAATCCAGTCAATCTCATTCTCAATCAGAATACTGCAGATAATAAATTAACTTCAAGTTTATTTTCAACTGTTCCATGGTACTGAGATGGCACACAGGTAAGGTGCATTAATTCAGTACTGTCTTTAAGCTAATTTGAGTGGCTGTTGTATTTTGGAGTCCTGTGACTTAGGACCATCAACTAAGTGGTTTCATTTGAAGGGATTTTTTCACGGTTTGGTGCATATGCAAGCTGCATCTACTAACAACACATTTAGGTACTAAATAGGAGCTGGGATAATTCACTGTTCATTCTATAACATACTCTTGTAAGATGGATTACTGATCAACTAGCAGTTAATTTTTCAGCTAATTTACAGGAAAGTCAAACACATGTTGAACTGAAGAAAACTTACAGCTTCTGAAATTTACTGCAGAATTGCTTGTATTTTAAGAATTTAATTGATATAATTATGAAAATTAATTAAGTCAGCAGTATACTTAACAACAAAGGAATCAACAATTGAAAGAAATTTGACTCACATTCTAACCAAAGCCTTTGGCAAGTTGGTGAAGTTGTGGATAAACAGTTGGATTTTATTTGCATACAAGTCACTGAAAGGGAGATATAATAGGTTCATGTGTGTAAACATGGCTAGACTAAGTATAACAAAAATTTTGCTGTGTTTTAAACACGAAATAGCAATGGCACACAATGGCACTATTGCTAAGAATTATTGTGGGATATAGGAGTCTATAGACCCTATTCACAAATGGCTGCCAATTAAAAATTCTTTTGGAAATATTAAAATTAGCCCAACTAACCTCGTTTTTGAGTAGATGATTCAAAAGAATTTTTATGCTCAAACGAGGTTAGTGGGGTTAATTAAAATGCATACAAAAGAATTTTAAATTGGCAGTCATTTATGAATAGGGTCTACATGTATAATGGTTAACCCTAGCCTTACAATTATTGAAAGCTAACTTCTGTCAGGTCAGTGATATTTAGGCTCATCTGAGTGCTATTTAGGCTCACCCTAGTGCCATTTCATCATTTTGCCATTTCATGTTTAAACATCACCCCAAATTCTTCTTTCACGTTTTAAAAATTGCATTTTCTAAACTGATCAGTAAGTGACAAATTATTCTTCCAGTCAGTTTACTTTAATTTACCAACTAGCATATTAAACTGAATTAATTCCATTCATATTCCTTAAATCATATCACACCCTTACTATACAGCTTTACTGTTCTGCAAGAAAATATAACTCTGATTGATTTCCTTGGTATTCCAAATTTTGGAACACAGACCCCTAAGCAGACCATTCAATATTAGTCTCAACAAATTTCTTCTTCGCACCTTGTACTTGTAAAAGACAACAGTTTATTGTTAAGCTGAATTTATTTCCCTTCATTGGCTGTCAGACAATATCAGTTAAAAGGTTTCAGTTTACAAAAGCACCCTGAAACCAAATATACTTGCAGTACCCTCCAACTTTGGTTCATGCTCACTAAGAATGGATGCTAAAATTATTGGCAGAGTTTTAAAAGAGCTACAGACTATAATTGCCACTAAAATTCTAACCTAATGGGAGATATAAAACTAAATATTCCCTGTATTCTTGGAAACCTAAGAAGCTTTTCTTTCTGATTTTTTTGCAAAAGAAGTCTCACAAAATTTCCTTATCATTGATTACAAAATAGGAGATTTGAATTTTTGGGCAAAACTGAGGAATACTGATATACCTTCAAAGGATTCTTTAAAGGCAACAAAGTGGCCATAACAACAAGGTGATCATTAATTTGTAACAGGGTAGTGATAAGGCTGGGTCATCATGTACACTTACACGAGAATAATTCAAGACACTAACAAATGATGAAGTCACTTACAGCTCTTCCAGTGCAGCATTCTTTGAAATATCTGGAAAGTCAGTCAGTGCATTTTCAGCCAAATTTCTGTGGAGCAAATATTAAAATTTATACATGGGAGTGACACAATGCATAGTTCTCATCCACAGACACGTTTGTGAATCCTGTTTAGATTTACCAGATTTTTGAATTTTTTAGTGGAGTTTTCTCAAGATGATTCAGCTACAACTGTATTATAGAAAATGCTCTGATTAACTGCAACAAACAATTGGCCTTGCTTTATTATGATAGTTATTAATAATTATTTTACTCTTATTATGACTTGCATTTTAAACTTGCATTGTGTAGAACTATATGGAACTTGCATTTACAAGTACTTTATACTTACAATGTCTTTAAACTTGTCAAGTTGTGAAAAGCTGTGGCATCAATATATGCCAAGCCAGAGTTGAAAATTGTTCTACAAAATAGTGAAGACAATGGTCAATTGATGTACATTTTATTAATGTATTGTAGCTATGCCACAGCTATGTACAATTTTATACAAAGTCCAATTGCCACCACCTCTGGCGTTGCACTCTATTAGCCATATAGTAGCCATTTAATTATTTTTAAAGCCCTTTTAAAATATATTGTACATACAAATGTACTAGTTAAAAGTAGCTAGACTTCCCTCAGGCTGTTGGTTTTGCTATTGGCAAGGACATTTCTCACTAGCTATTAGGGTTACATGTACATATATACATGTGTAACTCGATCCAAGCTCATAGAAAAGAAATGGAGAATTGCTAGTGTACACATATAAGAAATGGATACAATTTTCTATTAACAGGTTTATGAAAAGGTCACCTTTCTCTGTCAAAAGTGGTATATAAAAGAGTTAGTAGTCTGGACCCTTGGACAGAACTCGGTTTCTTGTAGCAAAAAAACTGTCTACGTTGGTACGTCACCTGCTCACAGCAAGGACTTCCACATAAAAAGGACGGGGGTGCTCATCAGAAATTTCGAAAAGAATCCCTAAGAGGTACCAAAATCCTGTTTTGTGGGTGTGGCTTGAAATGTTTTTTCACCCCCAAGAGGTACCAATTCTAAAACAACAATTTTCTCCTCGAAGTCATTTCTTCTCAGCTCAAATACCCTGAAAAGTAGCGCAAAAGCTCCAGCTGTGGACCCATTGAGGCTGAACACCCTACCAAAACCAAAAGGTACCAAAACCGCGCTTTTAATCCCTAAAAGGTACGACAAGCACCCCTGTCCTTTTTATATTGGAGTCTGCCCTGAGCACCTGCCTCCCCTCGCCCTCCACTAGGGCTACCCTTTTCCAAGCCCATTGTGTTTCATAACCATTTTTGATAGGTTTTCTTCAGTTTCTGATTATACATTTTACATCTGGGTGGAAAGAGGCAGTCTCAGAGAGCAGCTGTGTATGTCTCACACAAGAATGTTTACCTGCAATGCCTCAACAGCAGCATATTTACAGATCCTCAAAAATGTGTACAACTTTAATTTGCAAAGCAATTAATACTGTGAAGTAGTATGTCTTTTTCTTTTTTAATCCAAATCTTATTTGCATTGATCAACTCCTTTCTTCAAGTCCTATTTTTTCCTTAGACAGTATATTTCATGCACAAGTGAATGGTGTATTTTGCATATTCTGGCTGGTTAAGCCAAAGAGAACAAAATACGGCTTCCCATTTTGCTTTGGTAAACAAAAACATATACACTGGTATATACTAAAACAGTTATTCAGCCTCAGTCCCAGTCAATCAATCAATCAATCAATCATTCAATCAATTTGTTCATGTCAAAACGTGGGATGAGATTGCCCTCCATATCAAAGGCTCAAGTATGGTATGCTTGTTAATGAACAATTTAATTAATGATTTCATGGAACTGATAATGAAAGCGGCAGATATTTACCACCTTTTCAGAACATGATTGTGAAATTATTTTACATACATGTCTTCAATAGTGACTGCAAGGTCCTCAGTGCTCAGCTTCTCTACCGCTCTGTTCCTAACGTTTCTGGAAAACAAATTTGACATATCAACAAAGATGTCAATGGACATACACACAGCATTTTTCCAAGTGTCACTTTCCTATGGTTTTGCATAATTTTGCCGAAAGCTTACAATATTGTATCTGAACATAAAAATTATGGACAATTATAAACATGACTGCAACCTTCTCTGATGAACAAGTCACATCAAAGCAAGCTGTTTGCTCTCATCTGAGATCTTTTAGCTCGGGTGCATGATCAAGAATATTTTTAGGTATAACAACATGAGGAAAAAGATCAGTTTTTTCCTTATGTTGATATATTCATGTTGTTATGTTGTTAGCATGTCACATTTATGTCAGCATACATGTTCACTCTGCAATCATTAAAAGACATAACATCCTTCTTATGCCCTTATGTTTATGCCGTTACATCTACATTTATTGAGTCAGCAGAAACTATATACAGTTATCATGCTAACTTTTAAATAACATAAGAATAATAAAATAATGCTAATTAAAATATCACACGTAATAGAAAAATACACATATATGTATAGTACACTGGACAAAACTGTTCTGGAGCAATGTTTTACCACAAAAAATTGAACAAACAAAGTGACATGACTAATTTTGTGATTGTCTTAATAAACTCACTAAATTCCACACATGGAAAAATATTTTTATATGGATCACACAAGAAAGGCTTGCATTACACCTTGTCCAAATTTGGTAACAGAGTCACAAAGTATGTAAAATCACGTGATTTCTGAGAAATGAGTCAAATGTAGAGTGTTGTTTTGCGAAGAAACTCTTCACGTGCTGGTGGATTTTTTGGGCAAGATTTTGACACAAAAGCATGAGAAAGACTTACACCTTTATTTGGCCACTGAAATACGATACTCTCTTCAGAGACTGATCTTCTTTAAACCGGCTTTAAACTGATCTTGCCACTAGACAAGTCTTCTGCTTGTTTTGAATATGGCTGCCTTTAGCTCGCGCTTCGCACAAGCCACAATTACACAAGATTAACTGCTGTGTTAAAGCGTGATCGGCTGAGAACTTCAGACACTGCTATTTTTGCTTTTAGGAAAGTTTTCGAACCTTTTTCTGGGTTCATCTACCAGGACCTTACCATTTTCTCACAATTTCTTGCTTAACAAACTCGAAATAACTTTCTTAGGTTTGCCTTGTGGCTTTTAGTGGTAGCATCACGACTTGAATCTTTGCTTCTCTAAACTGTTAATGTAATACAGGATTATAGTGCTGTTCAGATGGATATCACTCCTTCTTCATAGGATCTCGTCTAATTTGTGAAAGAATTCCACAAACACGCAACGATGTTCTTTGCACAACAACACTGATCTAACACTACCATGTCAATGTAAACTATGACTATTTCCTTTCTCAGCAATCGCATGATTTTCCGTACTTTTGTTATTCATTCCACAACTTTAGATTCTCTGTAACTCAAGTCTTCCTTGCGTGATCGATGTGAAAATAAATTTCCATGTGTGGAATTTAATAAAGTTTAAGATGCTCACAAAAATTATTTGAATCGCTTTGCTCGTTTTAATTTTTTGTCATAAAATGTTGATCCTGAACAGTTTTGTCCACCGTACTATAGTATAAATATATCTACTTATATAAAATAAGTAATTATAGTAATTATTGGACCGAGCGAAGTACAATTGACAGGGAGTAATCAAGAGTAATTTCAAAATCGTGTAAATAATTTCAAAATTGGATGAGCGGGAAACGTGAAGCCAATTTGGAATTTTCATTTAAAAGTTTTAAAAAGCGCAGGAAACACTGAGAAGGAAGCCATTAAAGCGCGCATAATTGACATGCAAATAGCGTATGTATCCAATTACCGAATTCCAGTTACAACAAGTTCAAATTGGATACCTGTAATTGGACACCCACATGATGCCCGCCAATTGCATGACAAATAGACGCCGGAGAACCAATCAGGATCGAGAAATTTGTTATAGATACAATTATAATAAATATATAAAAATAAATAAATGATTATCATCATATCTATCACAAAATTCTTGATCATGATTGGTTTTCCCTACACCTATTTGTCATGTAATGGGCACACGATTACGCGGGTGTCTAATTACAGGTGTCTAGTTACAGGTATCTGATTTCAACAAGTCGTAATTAGATACCTGTAATTAGATACTTCACCATTTGCACATTAATTCCAGGTGGTTTAATCGCTTTTTTTCTTAATATTTCTTACAGTTATGGAATGCACCACTCACTTTTTCACTCAAAAGAAGTTCTCAAAGGCTGTCAATAAAACCAGGAACATGGCACATATACCGGAACATTCCGGAACATTAAAAAAATTACAATAATTATGAGAAAAATATATTAAATTAAATAAAGGAATAACAAATGACAGATAAATAAGTAAAAAAATAATAAATAAAAATAAACTGGTATCAGCTTGAAAAATGAAAAGAAATTTTGCTGATAGGGAGTCGCGTGTGTGGCAGGGGATAAAGAACAATTATTATTCATTCAACTGACCGCAATGAGTGGAGGCTCCACTTCTTTGCCAACAATTGTGTCACGTGAATTACAGCAACCTGTTAACTCAAGGGTAGGGATTTTGAATATATGAAGCCAAAGCTTACTTCCCTTTCAATATGCACTCGATTAGTATAGACTGAAAGTATGCATGGCCTGTATGAGAGGATGCAAAAATAGCTTCATTTGATCTTCTTTGACTTCTATCTGACATGATTTCCACCAGGTTCCAGACAAAGACCTCACTAACTCTTAGTAACTTCTGGATATTTACAAGATGGCAGATGGCAGATGGCAGATGGCTCATTACCAGACTCTCTTGGTCCTTCAAGATGGCTACCATGTCATATTCCCTGTCCTGAGGACATTGTGAACAATATCCCCGTGGGTAGTCTCCCGTGACTTCCCTCACCACGAGAAAACAGCAACAGCAAAACAATATGGTGGTAATCAACCTCTTCAACCACACGGAAAAATAAGGGACTGTCACATGATTATATAAACGGATGGCGAACAACTGGCAGGAAAGGATTAATGGGGATAGCTTACACATTCCCTCCAGAATGGTTAAAAGATTAAAGTTGCGAGCCTTCACCCATTGCAGCCATTTGCACTTTTATTTCTTTCTTAATTTTTTTTTT